CGACCACGAAGCTTTCAAACCGTCACTCGAGGAGTGTGACCAAGGACATCGTAGGTCATTCCCTCTCCTAACACGGTGACCTAGTTGGTCCGTGTCGATATTCAACCTTGAAATTTAAAAAGTACTCGGTATGTTATTAATTACTCCCTCCGTCCCGGAATATTCGTCCAGTTTTGACTTTTGGAACTGTTCATCTAAGCACTTTGACTCATCAAATTCTCTCAATGTGTAAGCCTAAATATAGTCATGTGTGATCTTGTTTGATTTGTCTTAACATATAGATTATTAATATATAATTTCTATAATTTTTTAATATACAAATTACAAGATAAAATGGATTAAAGAATTGTATTGGATGGTGTGTAAAAATGAAAGTGGACAAATATTCTGGGACGGAGGTAGTGTAAGATAGAGAGATTGAATATTGAGCAAACAAATAATTAGGTCGGATCTTATACTTCTCCAAAAAAAAAAAAAAGAAGATTGCATCCTATAGTGTTCATTCAATGAAGTATCTTTTATTGTTGTTAATGTTAATTGTATTAGGTACAAATAAATATTAGTGGTAAAGATTAAATTTGAGCAGGGTCAGCTCAATGGTGGGCCAATGGTGGGTCAGCTCAATGGTGGTCAGCTAAATTTTTAGAGTCCTAATATTTTTAATTTTTAAATATATGTATTATAGTTTTTTAAAAAATGGATCTTGGATTTTATTTTAAAACTATATTTTAAAATAAACCCAATTTTATTAAATTTACATGATAACTAAATATTTTTTTTCATAATTTGCTGTCAAAGGTTGTCACAGTTTGTCCGAAAAAGTCAAACTGTGACAATCTTTTAGGGACGGAGGGAGTATAATGTAAATTGTTAGGGCCATCGTTCATTTTTTTTCATCTCGACCAGGACCATCCTATCCTCGGGACCGACACCGATAAAGAGTTGTTTGACAAAAGCAACCTTAACCATTCATTATTATTCCATTATTACATTGTTGAGTTTGGTTAGTGTGATAAGCTAAGTTTTGAGTCACCCTCACACAAACCAATCTACACACCACTTTTGTCATGTTTTATGTGTTGTATTAGGGATGAACAAATATATCCCCTCCCAGCCCACCTTCCTTAGCTTATACCTTAGCTTGGCAAATTAGCACAAACATGCAGCTCCAAACGAGTTAACACAAAACCATATATATATATTCATATCATTCATCAAATCCCACTCCAAACATATCAAATCCACACAGACAATTTCATGCTCATACCATATGATCTGCTTCTTAATTAATCACTCCCACTGATGAACCTTCCCAGCAAAATCTGGTCCACATTATGTGTTTTCCCCCTCCCTAGTCTCTTCTATTCCATCCCCCCAAACAGAGCATAGTAATACTCGATCTACTCAAAAAGATTTTCCGCTTTAACTTTACAGAGATTAAGAAATGTGTAGAAAGAAATACGTGGATTGTTAATATTTGTTTATTAGAAGAAATAAATACCGCCTTGATTATTTTGACAACAAGATTGGGTGTCATATTATGACACTCAACTAAACTGGAGCTCCTACGATGTTCTGTTCCAAAAATTGACTAACCCCCAAATTTGCCAAAATTCATATATTATCACCTTGTAAATTACTGCTACAAATAAGAAAAGTGAAAAAAAATGTGTGATTGAAATTTATTTGAAAGAGAGAGAGAGTCAATGATATATTGATATTGATATACTATTCCGTACATCCGTCCTAAATTATTTTAAAAAAATGGAGAAATGTAAAATTGGTTTTTAGATGTTTAAAAAAACAAAAGTATATATAAATTTTTTTTTAAAGAGGGAGAACTAACTACGTATATTAATTTGCTCTTATTTATATATTTCCCTTCTCGTTCAAAGCCAATTTCCAACTCGGGACCTTCCCTCTCTTCTCTTTCCTCACAAACTCCATCCATCAACCAATTCTCTCAATCAAAGCTTCTTCTTCTTCTTCTTAAATTGCCTTCTCATTCCAAAATGAAGGTAATGAAACTTTCAGTTTGAGAGTTCATTATTTTGGAATTAAATTTCAATTCCAATAACCAAAATGGTTTTTTTATTTACTCTTTTTTTTTAAAAATTATAGATATAAAATTGGTTTTTTTATGCAGTTACTTGGTTGGATGCACCGTAAGTTTCGACAAGGTAGCGGCGAACCTCTCAAAGATTTCTCCTCCGGTAAGCTTCTACTATGGAGTATGAGGGTAATTAATTAGAATATACTACTACAAAATATTTTCTAATATTATAATTTACTATTTCAGTTTTTGGTTGAGTTGATTTTCTCATCATAATGAATACTGAAATAGAATACTTATTAGTTGTTTGCAAGGGTATTTAAGTCATTACTTAAAATTGTTGAGCTAGATAACCAAGCAAATTGAACATGTATACATGCATGCAAATATGCATACACATATATTTTTACAGGGCACCCTCCATTGGATGACATCCAATGCTACCCCAAGGCAAACCATTACTTCACAAAGTCCTCCAGCAAATCCCAAAGGGACAACCACCACCTCCTCCTCCGCAAATCCTTCGCCGACAGCCGGACAGCCGGCGAGTCCGACCACCACGGCCAGTACTACGACGACGAAGACCTGCAGCGGGACTCGTCGGCCGCCGCGCTCTCCGACCTCTTCCACGGCTTCCTCGCCATCGGGACGCTCGGCGGGGACCACCCGCTGGGCGGCGGCGGCGGCGGCGACCCCTACGCGACGCCCACGTTCTCCATCTCCATGGACAACATCGCGGAGAAGGAGACGGGGGAGGTGACGGAGAGCGACCTCCGGATGATCAACGACGAGCTCGAGAAGGTGCTCCTCGGCGACGGCGTGGCGGCCGACCAGATCGCGTCCGGCCGGAGCAGCCTGGTCAGCAACCCCAGGAGCAGCCACTGTAGCACTATAACACTGAGCAGGAAACAGCTCGAGAGCATAGAAGCCGCCGCCGCGGCGGGGGCGGCCGCAACCAACATCTGCCCCCTCCAAGGCTACCTCTTGGGGTCCGCCGCCATCGGGGTGCCCGAGACGGCGGCGAACAAGAAAGAGCCAAGGCCTTCACTGGGAGAGCTTTTCCAGAAGACCAAAATGGTGGATGAGAGTTCATATGGGAACAAAGGGGAGAGTAATAAGAAGGAGAATGATAAGTCAAGTGTTCATCATCTCTTGAAGAAGATACTAAAGAAGGGAATGATTCATCCTTCTTCTTCTTCTAAGGGCTCTTCCAATGCAGATTCTGCTGCTGACACTAAATTCAACAAGGTATATATATACACACCTATTCCACTTTTGCCCTTTTGTATTTATTTTTCAGATTAATATCTGACTTGTTGTATGATGCAGGTGCTGCAAATGTTCCACAGGAAAGTGCATCCTGAGAGCATAGCAGCAACAGAAAAGCTTGAGAAGCCATCCAACAAGCAGAACCAGCTTATGTATGACAACCTTCTGGCCGGCGGCGGCGGCGGCGAAGATGTCGCTCTTGTTCCCAAGCGCCGCATGTCAAATTGCGGCGGCATGAGGCATCTCAAGAGCCAATCCGGCCTGCGCCACCAGTTGGCCGCCGGCGATCCCAATGTCATGAACAAAGAATGTTGGATCAAGAGTGACGCTGACTGTAAGTCAAATAATCTTCCTTGCTACATAAATACTTCATTCCTTCTTTAATAGTAATCAATTACCAAGCAATTTTTTTTTGTTGGGGTATGTTATGTATGTGTAAATTGTAGATTTGGTTCTGGAGCTCTAAAGCAAGGAAGAAGATGGGATAGATCCACCAGATTCACTGCCTGCAAACACTACTGCGACGTGTTTGGGTTCATGAAACTCAAACCTTATTTCATATTTTCTACCTTCTAAAGTAATTAATCAATTACGACTACTATAAATATAAATATGTCTGAGTGAGTGAGTGAGTGTGAAGTGATAAACTTTGCATCAGCATCTATCTATCTATCTATCAGAACAATTATTTAAGATGTATTAAAGAGTGCTTTCATTCTCTATCTGCTCTTTTTATTATTATTGTTATTATGGTTATGTGAGATGAGTATTACTATATGTGTATAAATGTGTTTGAGATGCTACTATATACTATGGATCATTTGTGATGCATGTGCATGATTTATGCACATTTTAAGTATTTTTATAAATTAATATTGGTCTGATTATGATGGTTAATGATTAATTGTAGGCATAGAGTGGAACTGCATTTTTATCTTATGGTGAGAAAAGAATAGTCAAAGAGATGGATAGCTTTGAGGATATATTTCAGTACTGTAGCTTCTTGGCTCACACTAATGATAAATTCATCTAACCCTTTGTTTCTAAAACACTCACAAAGGTAACAACAACAACATTACCCTAGTGTCTCGACGGCCCCCGCCCATTTGCTTACCTACACCCTTATGATTATATATATATATAATATTCAAGAAAATGAAAGTCACATTTTCACAACCGAGTTTTGTCTTACCTCATTTTCGCTCTTAGAGACAATTTCACAAGCATTCACATTCACGGGCATGGCCACATAACAATGTCTATATTTGAGGAAAAATTGGAACTTCAGCACAAATTTTTGGGACACCCTAAGTCCTAACATGACACTTATATAAAAAGAAAACTCGCGTGAACGGACATCCTTTAACAAAAGTGAGGGACAACTCTGAAAACGATAAGGAATACTCCCCTAGTCCTAAGAAGATTTGCCCTCTGCTCTCTTTCCTTTTCGTCCTTTCTGGAATAAAATTTATACTTTTCTTATTTCCTTTTAAGGAAAAATACATGTGACACGCAATATTTCTCTTTCTAAACAAATTCAAAACCATATCTTAATCTTTTTACACATACTTTTTTTAAAAAAAAAATCTATTAAACCAAAGCGCATATTCATTTTGGAACAGATGGCATTCGTAAGAATAGGCCCGACCCATGCATAGAATTCCTATCTGCTTCCATCTTGATATCCTATAGTTTCTTTGGCATAGACCAAAACCACTAACGGAAAAACACAGATCATTCTTGAGACCCAATATACAAAGTAGCAGCAGCAACATCTTCTATCCATGTTATCTTTATTCATTTTATTGCTTACTTACAAATTTTACATTGTTTATCAAACTTTCATTGTCAATATTTTACAATCATCAATCCATCATCAACAATTGAGAACTTTGTGTGTGTGTGTGTTATAAATGTTTGCAGAAATAAGAACATGAATCATGGAGTAACGCAGAGAAGAGACACTAACATTGGCCATCCATGTAATCTATCAACAGATCCTTCACCATAACTCGATCTGGTATCCTCCCAGCAGCACCATATAGCGGCGCAAGCCCTCCCGTCATAGGGCCTGGATTTTTTTTCACCTGAAAAATAAAACAAGTGTCTTTGTTGGTGAAGTACTCCGTCTATGTCAGTGTCTCAGCCGTGACTGACGACTCTGGCTCCGTTTGGCATTAACTTTAACATTTACCTTCAACATTTTCGAGCTTCTGCTATATTAAAAAGCGATATAGTGTGTTTGACAATATGCTTCTACTTATAGCTTATGGCTTTGGAAGTCTAAAATGAGCTTCAGAAGTGCTTTTCAGAATTTCAGCAAAGCTAAGAGTGGGTGCTTTCGCCTTCTACTTATAACTTTTGTTTTTTCAGGAATCTGATGTAACCCATGCACCCTCAAAGTCATGTTCAGCTCTAGGGTTGAATTAGTATTACAAACATGAGAATTCTAGTTTAGAGGAATAGATTTAAGACGGAACATGTTGTTGAACTAGAGCATTTAGATGTAGCCACCTCATGGCTCATGAGGTAGTAGCATCCTCATTCTCCATTTCAACAAAGTACTTCCTAAATTTTGTTTCTTAGAAACAATCTTTCTACATTCTAGTACGGGTAAGGTCTGCGTACACACGCTCTCCCTTCACCCTACTTTTGTGGGATTCTGGGTTGTTGTTGTACTTCCTACATTTTTCATCCATATTTTATCTTTCCTAGTTTGACGTTGTTTGGGGTATAAGAAAATGATGTCGTGTCGTTGAGATTTATTTAGAAATGAAAGAATCAATACAAAAATAGAAAATAGAAAGAGAGGACAAAACAAGGGCAGGTAGTATATAACATGTGATGCTCGCTCAAAAAAGAAGTTATGGGCTTGTTATCTTTTCATGTATATATTGCTTTACAACAAATCCGGTAAAATTCCAAAAAAAAAAGTAGGGTCTGGGAAAGATATGTAAACACGAGCCTTACACCTACTCGGAAGTAGAGAGAGAGAGTTTCCAAGAGACCACCGACTCAAACACAAAAACACGGATGGATAATCAAAGTAAACACAATAGCACAAACAAAACAAGAGCAAAGTAAGAGCAAAGTAAGAGCATAGAGACATGAAGCCCACAAACCGACACTAGCAGCTAAACCTAAAACACAGAAATCACACATCCACAATCTAGAGGTCTACTCAACTACTCTAATACTAAATTTCCAAATGTTCTTATCTAAGGTCATTTCCTCGGTAAGATCCTTCCTCTCATGTCCACTAATGTAAGTATATATTGTATTACCCCCAAAAAATGTAGAGCGCTACAAGTATAAATGGTTAGGCAACGAATTACTTACGGTCTGCACAGCATCTTTCACGTCCCTCACAAAGTCTTGAGCAACTGATGTGTGTTGAAGTGTGACACAAATATGAATGCTGACAAGGGAAAATGAGAATGCCATTAGAACAAAATTCTTGGTGAGTTTTAAGAAGGAATATAAGGCAAGTCATGTAAAGAGAGTCACCCAAACTACGGCTGCAAGCATTGCATGTTTTACATAACTACACCCCTCAACTCCCATTTGGTTAATATATAGCCTCAAATGTATAAAAAGAGAGTTGACTTCGATCAAGGTACAACTTTTAAAATTTGGCCATGTGCAACGCTTAAAAGTCATGGAATCCTACTTCATACTTACGTCTATAGTTTGTTTTTGTTTTTATCATATTGAATTTGTTAGTAACTTTTTTGGATATTAAATCAAAGTTAGCTTTATTTTATGAAATATGGCTCTTATTATGGGGCAAAAGAGGAGTTCCAAATATGACACTTTTTTCAAGCAGAGTAAATACTAAAGATATTTATGGAGACAAACATAAACAAAAACTACAAACCCAGTAAAATCCCATAGAAGGTAGGGTCCGAGGAGGGTGTGCAAGCAGATCTTAGCCCTACAATGAATTAGAATACTGGAGACAAACATAAAGAGGAAAATTTGGTCACCTATTAGGTCTTTGCAACGCATTCAAATGCCACCCTTTAGATGACAAAATATCATTGACTTCAAATATGTCTACAACTTCAGATCCAAATGCGATAATACTCATATCAGGCTTTCCTATGACAAACAGTTCTGGAATCTCTTGAATTCTGCAATAGTTAAAAGCAGAATAAAATTTTGGTAATGCCAATAAGTCAAATGCCAATAAAATTTTGGGCATGCTAAAATGTCCACCCTTTCTCTATTTCCTTAGAAGCTTCCATGATTGCCTTGGTGTTCTTGAGGTAACCTGTAAAGTAAATAAGTAATATGCAATGTCAATTCAAAAGCCCTGGATCAAATATCCCATTCCTGCTAGAGACTAAGTGTCACGTTGGGTGTAGGATTTTGAAGGGATTCTGGAAGGTTAAGTCGATATCTTGATAAACATTTGATGTTTTAAGAAAATGGAATGAATAACATAAATGGTGATCAAATAAAAGTTCAATCGCTTTGTTCACTTTTTTGTTGAAGATATAATCCTGAACACTCAGGCTAAAAAAAGACTAATATATCAGAATATGAGTTGCTCCTCCCATTGCCAATTGGTTTTGGGTTGGAATCTCATTATTCAACATGGTACCAGAACCAAGGCTTAGAAGCTCAAACCAGAAGCTCAAGTCTATTCGAACAAGTAACAGCTTGAGGCAAAAAGACCCAAAATGCACTTGAAGGGATGTTGAGTATGTAATCCCACATTTGGCTAAAAAAGACTAATAATATAGAATATGAGTTACTCCTCTCATAGTCAATTGGTTTTGGGTTGGAATCTCATTATTCTACACTTACAAATTATCTGTTTTTCAATACATAGAGTAAGCCTACAAAGTATTTCAACATTCTCTCTTCAAACTGGCCCATAAAAGAAATGTGAAAGGTACAAGTGCACCACCCACCATAAAGTCCAACAGACATCATCGCTGCCCAAGCTCCAGCAATTAGACCTCCAGGCCTGCTCCCAGCAATGGTGGGAGAGACATACAGCCCGCCAGTCCATTCAGTAACTGAAGAAACAAAGATACTATCAAGACTCTAAATTTCATCCTAAAAAGTCAATCTAAGTAGATCAAAACCTTATTTGTTTTTATATCTGTTCACAATTATATGATTTAACATTTCCAGAGAGATGGTGGCTCATTAGAGTAGATATATATAACCAATATTGCAAGTTGAGAGAAAATATTTTTAATCCAAAAAAAATGTTAACCATCATATTGTGACCGTATGATGATCTAAGGAAATTACTACACATGTTCCATAATTATCTTCCTATTGTCCTATTTGGGTTGTCCCAAAATTTTGTTCCACCTTTTTAAGGAAAAGAATGTGCGATCCATATTATTTTCTTTCTTCTACACAAAACCACAACCAAACGAGTTCTATATTAAAAATTGTGTCAATCCCATACAAGATAATTATGGGACGAAGGAAGTATATACTATCTTAGTGGTATTTTTTTTAAAAAAAGTAACTCACCAGCAACAAATTGATGCTGTTATAAGTTGGTCCACCAAAATGCAAACAAAGAAGCAACCAAACATGCCATATCCAAAACAAAACTTGGATAAGAAACTAAGATTAAAAAAAACATAATGCATAATTTGATAAAGATAAAAATAAGCATTTCAGTAATACACTGATATGCAAAATACAGTATGGAAGTTAGTGGCTAAAATGGAAATTAGAATTACCTTCCGAATGTCGTGATTTCTATATAAAACAACACTTGTTCCCTTAGGAGCCAATCCATACTTGTGTACATCTACAGATATTGAGGTTACTCCTTGAACAGTGAAATCAAATGGTGGAACCGGGTACCTATGAGAGTCGAGCAATAGGTTTGAGAATTTTGTTAACATATGTTCTACACCATAATGACCCTACTTGTTTTCATCTTCGATTGTTACAAAAATTATTTTATTTGAATGTTCACTGAAAATATAAATGTTATGCAAATGATAGGAAATAGAAGACACGCAAATTGTCACAGCGCCTCAAGAAATATAAATTAAGCAAGGGTCTTGGAGGGAACAAATAAACGGTGATTGAAATATTATATAAACACATGTTATGTTATCTCTTGAAAATTTAAAACATCTCAACTGTGGTTAGCAATATACAGACTTAGCCATCCATAGCAATCTCCTCTGAAACACTCCATCCAAATTGACCCTAAACAACAACCACAGAGTGGGTCTGGAGGTGCATATGCAAACCTTACCCCTACTTAGAGGGTAGAAAGGTTGCTTTCAAGAAACCCTGACTCAAAACAAAGAAAGATTAAGGCAAAAGAAAGTAGCACGAACAGAATAACAACCCATAGAGAACCAAGAACACATGCAAGAACAAATTGACCCGAAGGATTTTTACAATATGGATTCTACACACAATTAGAACTTTGATGGGAATTGATGCCATTATTCACCTAATCTGCTCAATGACTTCCATTTCTAACCATGAACAGGTAAATAATGTTCACTTCGCCAGTTCATATTACAATACGATTATGTCTTGACGAAACTCCTTCCATCATATCCGATGGAGCCAAAAATTCACTATATTTTGGCTTTGGGTGATGGAATAAAGCAAATGGATCTCTAAACTCTGTGCGCTTATTTAATTAAAAAAGTAGCAGTTAGTCAACCAATGCAACTTTCTATGCTGAGCCGGGGGTCTCTTTGGAAACAACCACTCTACTTTCGAGTATGGTTAAGGTCTGCGTACACACACCCTCCCCAAACCCTACTAACCATACTCTTGTGGAATTCAACTAGGTTGTAGTTGTTGTTGTATGTCTTAACGAAATTCTCTACGAAATATAAAACCCAACTTTTTATAAACCTATATATTTCATTTGTCCCTTATTCATTTTCAAGGTTGGACTTCATTCACATTTTAACAAGTGTGTAGAAAAAAAGAGATGGGAAAATAATAAGGTTAGTGGATCATTTTAATGAGTGGGCCCTTTCCAAAATAAAAAAAAGGATAACTGATTTAACACAACCAGAAAAAAAAAGCTGAGAACACTACTATGGAACAAAAGAGTAACAACAATAGCTAATGAAAATTGTACCCGAGTTTACGAGCAAAAGGCAAAACAAATCCACCTAGACAGAGGTCAACATGGCAACAAATTCTTAAACTAGAAGCTAATTCGCCCAACTCCTGCAAAAGTAAATATAATTCATGAACAGAAGGTAACAGTGGTAACACATGGTTGTTCATACACCCCAAGCTAACAAGACTATGTCACATGCCTCAATTGGATCAATTACTCCATGTGGGAAGCCAGGTGCTGATCCAACAATCTGTGGATGCATGGGATTCAGTCAGTTAATGCAAAAACGATTATGTATGATAGTGTTGTGCATAGAAATGATCATGAACGCTTTGAGAGTTTAGGCTCCATCTATTTCAATATGAAAGGAAGTAGGGGAGAAAAAAATGGAGGGAAGATAAAGTTTTTGGTTGTTTGGGAGAGGGTAGAAAAGAAAGAATCTCGAAATGTGGTGAAATTTTGGCAGAAATAGGAAAAAACAAATGTGCCCATAATTAATGAAATGGTGCATATATATATATCTCCTAATTTGTACACAAAAACACAAACATATTACTCCGTATTAGAGAAAAGTTTGTCTTTACATCATCTTTTCTCTCTATCCTTTCTCCTTTCTCTCGATCCAAGAAACCTAAAACCTTCTCATTTTCAATTGATTTTCTCTTCACCTAGGCCTTTTTCGTTCCTAGTCTCTTTATCCAAACAAACTGATGGACCGAGATGCATAAAGGTGCAAGATTATAGATAAACAGGAACACCTAGGTGATAAGAATATCACGATTAGAAAAAACTATGATGAATTGATGGATATTATTTCATAACAAAAAAATGCTCTTACCATTATTGTGTTTTTGTTTATATGTTTCTTAATAGCTTTCACATCTGCTCTAAATTCTTTATCAACGGGAACACGCCACAACTTGATCTTAAAGTACTCTGCAGCTTTGTCATATGCTGAGTGAGCAGAAACCGGGATTATCCTGAAGTTATAAATGAAACTCAGTAATGCAAGATGGAGATATCATCAAGGTACATAAAAGTAGCTTGAAAAGAGAACTGCATACATTTCTGGTTTGGTGATTCCCTTTTTAGCTCTCATATAATCACGTGATGACTTAACTGCTAACAATATACTCTCAGTCCCTCCTGATGTCATGTTCCCGCATATTTGTCCTCCAGAAGCTTCTTCCTTGCTTCCAAAGAGTGCAGCCGTCATTGCAACAACTTCAGCCTCAAATCTTACAACACTTGGGAATATATCCATGTGTAGTGGGTTGGTATGTGCAAACCTGAAACATTATATATATACCAACGGTAACACATCTGAAGACACCTAATGGAATGGTAACTCTTGATAAAGATTTGAACCCTTAAAGAAAATAATCCCTTGGATCCTATTTATCTATCCATTATATCTAAATACCACATGCACCATCTGTCCCATTTAACTTATCTTAGTTACTATTTATTGGTCAAACTAAAACTTTTTCTTTAGCTTATTTTCTTTAATATTCTTTTATGATTACAGTCACGTTGCTACTGATGTCTTTCTGGAATATGGAGTATGTAAGTTTTAATTGTTTATACACTGAAAAAAACATTACAAAACATTGAATTGAAAACAACTTCAATCTTGCCCTGCTGCACAAGTACTAGACTAGGAACATAAAATGAATAGGGCAGAGGGAGCATAATAAAAAATATAAAGTGGCATAATTTCTAAAGCAATCACAACTAATGTAGTCTAATTCAAATTACTCTTATTCATGAACACATTACAAAATTTGAAGAGTAAGTATCCTCCTTTACATTTTTTTTATCTTACTTTCATGGTTCCCCATGTGCTTCTATTTAATTCTCTGAACGGTAGAGCATGAAGAAAATACACTAACTAATGCTTTAATGCGCGAGGTATTTACTATATGGACATATGAAAGGAGCACCTAAAAAGCATCAAAAGCTTTGTTTACATAGAACAAGTGGGCAACCCTTACATAGAACATGCTTCGTTTATTAAAGAAAAATGCCCTTCATTCTCACTTCCTGCAATATATCTGCACAGCAAAATGTGAAATTATTTTGTTAAGCCGATGTAGAACCAAGAGCAAAGGGGGAAAAGAATTACTATTAATGTGTAAAACTAAAAGGTAGTTTGGAATAAAACATAGTATTTGTTAACATACACTGTACCAGAACATTTGCCCTGCCAGAGCACATCTTTTTCTTTCACATCTCTCATTGTTTTGATGACACCATCTCCTAAACCTGCTGTTGGCAAATCATCTCTCCATCCATCTCTAGATTTGCCAGAAGCTTGCATCTTTTCTACAGCCTGCCCAGTTCAAAAGAACGTCATCACATGATATTGCACTAAAAAAAGATACCCTTATAAAAGTATGGTCCATCCACCAGACCACCACAAAATGAAAAGGAAAGGAAGTGAATTTATTAACTCAGGAAAAACTATAAATTTAAATAAGTGGTAATGTTATTATCAACCAAAAATCACAAATCAACTTAACTTAGTCAAAAAAAATCATTAAAACACGAAAAGTATTTTTTTCCCCAAGTTTTTGTGGTAATGTTATTATCAACCAAAAATCACAAACAATTTTTTTCTGCACACGTTTTTGTGAATTTTCCATCATCTCCGATGGAGCCAAAAACTCACTATCTTTTGGCTTTGGGGTGTGATGGAATAAAGCAAAATGGATCTCTAAACTGTCTGCTCTTCTTTAATTAATGAAGTAGCACTTAGTCAATCAATGCAACTTCCGACGCTGAGCCGGTGGTCTCTTTGGAAACGGCCTCTCTACTTTCGAGTAGGCGTAAGCTCTGCGTACACACACCCTCCCCAAACCCTACTCTTGTGAGATTAAACTGGGCTGTTGTTGTTGCACAAGTTTTTGTGAAGAAAAAAAATTCTATTGAGAGCATAGTGCTCTCCATAAGGAAAACTTTGTGCCACCATTCTATTTCCTATCCGCCCTACCCTAACCGTATCATATTGTATGGTTTGGGTCAAGTCCTCATGAATTTACTTTGAGTCACCTCCCAAAGGGTCTCATACTAATGGGGTTGGGTGGGCACATATATATTGATCTAGTTTTCATTCTCAATCTGAGGATATGGTCATATGGTTTGTTACTCAACACCAACTTGACAACATAATTCTAAGGCAAAGTGTTATGGGGCGTGAGGAGGGGCTTAACCACCCTCCATCACGCCCCTCATCCATAACATATAAGGAGTGGGGCGTTGCCCCAAATGTTGTGACCACCATCACTGCGTGATGCTTCTTCCTTCCCCAATTATTTTTTTCATTTTTTTTTCCTTTTTTAATATTGGATCAGCCAAAATTTAACACACATGACTCACACATCATCACTTCCCTTCACACCCACCATAACACACATATTTCTATCACTCCACATCATACCCCATCAAGCCCCCACCATAACACATAGCCTAATGGTGACCCAAATAAGGATGCTCTCCTAATTCCTAAAATTGCATGCTTTGAAAACACATCCAACCAAATGATCAAAATTAACCTATTGAGGTACTGTATTTTGGCAAAAAATACTTCGAAACTAGACTGAAGCAAGCACCTAATTAGGAGTAATTTATCATGCTATGAACCAATTTTCTCACTTAAGACTCGTAAAACACCACAGGAAAACAAATTGAGGTGCAAAGATCAAACCTTTTGTTTCTCTGAATCAATCAACTTCTTCACACCGGGCACCAACCTGTTTTCTCAAAGTAAAAACACCAAACAAGTCCATGACCAAACTAACAAGTAAAGTACTTAAAACGAAAAAACAAAAAATTAGGAGACGAGTATTGAGAATTTACTTGACTAAGGTCATGATGAAGCCGACAATGGAAGGTTTGAGGCCTCGTTCATGGACAGAATCGAGGAAGGATCGGAGAATCCGAGCGACGAGGAGAGATACCAGTGGAACGAGAAGCAGAACGAGCGGCTCGTACTGAGCCAGGAACGAGTTGGCGGAGGCTCTGAGTCGGCTCAGCGAAGCGGATGATTCCATTTGCCTGAACCTGGAAGAGATCGATGTGAAGAAGACAAAGTTGAGTTGGTATCAGATGTTATGAGCAGCTAAAGACTCCTTCTTAAATCAGCAAAATGTATGGAAGCTTCATTTGAACATATGAAAGTATGAAAGCGGAGTTGCGATTAGAACAGTGTCGTCTTCTTCATTCACAGGGGTGGGGAATTGGGTTGAAAAAGGAGAAGAAGACCATACGTGTACGTTAGAGTCCTCTTTGGAAAAGACAATTATGAATTACCCTTCATTTTGCTCGAAAATATTCATACATTTCAATTTATACTTTATCTGGATTTGTTTAGTTTAATTTTTTCAAGTTAGATTATAAGAATTTTGAAATTTAATTTAACAAAAATTGTAATGTATATTAGTATAAACATGATTTTAGTGGATTTATATTATTGATGACTTTTAAAATTTAATCTCATTATCCTAACATGCGAATATGCGATACAATTAAAAAAATATGTGAAGCTCAAAGTTCATCCAGTTTGATTCAAAAAAATCAAACTGTACAAATATACTTAGACGGAGATAGTAATTCTCAAGCTATAATACACAAGTTAGCTTGTATTTGTAGACACTTAAAATTATATTTTCATGAACTAAAATTTCAAAAGTTGTTCTCAAACAAACTCTCAAAGACCCTCTTTATTGCTTGACATAGTAAAGTTTAAATTAGTAGTCACACAAATTTAGCAAAAAACTTCCTCCGTCTGATTTTTTTAATTTACGAAGTTTGGCTAGAGTTGTTTTCAATATAATTGATTATATGTATAAAATTTATATATTTAAAATTACATGTCAAAGTTCTTGTGGTCGAACAGATCACAATGGCTCCCCCAAACGAGAGGTCACAAGTTCAAAACACTAGCACGGACGTTAACTCTATACACTTCAGTAGATTAAAAATAGTTGTATAAATAGATACTACAAAATATATATTATAAAAATCTAATAATTTAAAACTATATCAAAAATTCGAACAAGTGGTCGATGACATGACTGTTATTTTTTCAAGTGACTAGTAAATACGGAGTACAATTTTTACATAAAATCGCGAGTTTTTCTGTGATACCTTGCCAACTATTGTTAGAGTCACTTCTTTAGCAATAAGGTTGCTTGCTCGTAGTAAAGGGCAGTGCTCTTGGATTTTGAATAAGCCATATAAAATGACAAAAAAAGCTAATAAATTTTATTTCAAATATTTATTGAACATTAAAAAAATTAATACGGAGTAGAAAAGTATAAAGAATTAATAATATGCAATGAAACACATTTAGTTGGGATCTTTTCAATTCTAGTTGCGGGCTAATCCGCTAATATACATATATTCTAATAAGAAAACTAATCCTGTTATGACTTTTTTTTAAATAAAATTGTTTGATTGAAGATTGATGCATTAGAGACAAAAGGAATGTGCACCGCTAAATAAAAAAAATCTAGGGAGAGAACGAACGCTCTCTTTTGGACGTCTCAAAAAGAAAATGAGCATTATGTTTTCGGGATAGAGGAAATGTCATTGAGTAAGTACTACTTAATTCACAATTTCAATTGCAAATTAAGAGTATTTCAGTATTAAAACATTTTATTTTCTACTCGCATTCAAAATGTTGTGTACAAACGAATTATTTTTTGAATACTAATAACTTTATTACTACAAAATAGTACGAAGTATTTGCTTATACTCCGTATATTCTTAATCTATAAAAACCTATAGGGTTATTACCTCTGTCAATGATCGAACACAAAATATCTCATTTAAAAAAATCATAACAGTGTTATAGGATTACAAGGTTCTTGGCAACCGTTAATCAACTATTTTGACTTTTTTTTAAAAAGTACTGCTGGTATATGCTGGGACCGGTGAGCAATTGCATTTGAGCAATGCTAGGCGTTAGGGGTGGGCGTGAAATTCGTTCCCGTTGGACCGTTCCGAAAAATCCCGGATCCGTTTTGTAATTGTACCGATATATTGGGACACATTTTTTTATCCCGAACCCGTTCCGTCCCAATATCAAATGGGACATGAGCGGGACAACTAAAATTTTGTACCGATCCGTCTCGTTTGTTCCGTTTCATATACTCTACTAATATATAATACTAATTCTAGTTCAAAATCTAAATACACTCATTCTTTAATTAATTAGTTATTTAATTTAGTTAACTTCATAGGCTTGAAATTTATTTGGACCCATTCCACTCATTGTTTTTTGTTGGATGACTACATGTTTCTTTTTTTTTGAATGATATTTCACTCTCTCCCCTTCTTATACTTGCGATTTAGGACAAAATAGGACGACCTGAATCCGTCCCGTTTTATTCCGATCCCGAATTTTATGGGACAAACCGGGATAAGGTTGTAATCCGAATCGTTCCGGACCGTTATATGTTTGTATATAACGGGACAAAACGTGGGATAACCTAAAACCCGAACCGTCCCGATCCATGCCCACCCCTACTAGGCGTACACTAAAGGTGTACCCCAAATGTACACCACCCCCTTCTCCACCACCAATTTTATTTTATTTTTATTTATTCATTTTTATGAATTTCTTGCCTTTTTGTGGACAAAGAAGAGGTGAGAAACAAATGAGATACACATTTGGTATACCCTAAGCATTTTTTATTGCATTTACCTGTGCGCGCAGGCGCGCAGCACAATCAATAATAAAGGAGCAATAACTTCACCAGGAGCAATAACTTTACCCTCGAAGAAATTAATAAAGGTGCAATAATTTTTTGCAATAACTTAAAGGTGTACCCCAAACATCCCCCACCTCCTCCATCACCACACAAAAAAGGCAAAATAAATTCAAAAAAAATAAAAAATAAAAATAAAATAAAATAAGTGGTAAAGAGGGAGGGTGGTGTACATTTGGAGTACACCAAAGGTGTACCCCTAGCATATCCCATAATTTTTTTACACGAAACCAAGCAAACATATACTCCGTATTAGACGGATCAACACGCACTACGGAGTATAATCTTTTAGGGAAAAAAAAAGAAGAAAAACTGTCAATTAAAATACGTGGATTTGTAGTAGACTAGTAGTCATGAAGTTGTCTAAAAAATAGTCTACATAATTTTCAAAATTCCAAGATTCTAGAAAAAAATGTTTCATACAAAGTGAAAACAAATAACACAAAGTAGGGAACATTTTCTAACTTTCACATTGGGATAAAAATCAAGGGAAAATTCACTTAAATAGTACTAAAAGATAATGACTTTCTCTAAATAGCATCACATGTGTTTTTTTCTCATTGTAGCACTTTTAGTCGTTATCCATTAGTCATTATTCAAATAAATGTTTGTGATCACTGAACATTATGGACATTATATTATTTAGGGAATAAAACAGTTTAAGTATTATTTAGAAAAATGACTTAAATTTTAATGCTATTTAGTGCAAATATTTTATATTTAAACTATTGAGAGTGATGTGTTGGATAAGGAGAGATGATAAGAGCATCTTCATCCCTTATATTACGAAGTAAAATTTATCCATCCAATCAATCTTTTTTCATTCATATTATCTCCCAATCATTCATTTTTAAATGCCTTATTTTTTAAACAAATGCTTACAATTCATTTCATCCATCCATCTGCTTAATTTATTATTCCTTTGTCCCATTTTATTCTATTTTATTTTTTTATTTTTAATAAGCTCCACCTTTAAATGCATCCAATGGGATAGATGTTTTACCCCTCTCTATCCATTTAATCAATCATTCACAATCTATTAAATGACATCTCTCGTCCATTCATCATTTTAAACACCTTTTAAAGTACAAAGTGAGTAATTTAAGATAATAAATAAAGTAAAATACAAGTGGAACCCATGAATGGATGAATGTAGGAAATGTGTTGTGAATGTTTGTTTAAAAAATAAGATATTTGAATACTTGGGGGTATTTATAATGCGAAGATGATATGAACCAGAAAGATTTATTAGATAGGTAAATTTTATATTGAGGAGTGTTGATGCTCTTAATAATTATGCTTGTGTGAATAACCATATTTTTTTTTTGTGAATAACCATATCTCTTTAATTTTTGAAAGCATTTTAAATTAGACTCAATATTAGTAAAAGTTATACTCCAACTAAAAATAACTCTGTCTAAAAATATTTTACTCCATATTTTAAGAAAACTTAAATATTACTCCCTCTGTTCCTTAGGGTACTGGTACTACTCATAACGCCCGGGGGCGTGAGGGGGCGTTTAACGCCCCGGAGGCGTCAAACACTGCCCCCCTTGGGGCTTCACCCGGGCTTCATTTCTTCTACTTCAAATGTTTAACGGGCTTCAAAGCTCTTCCCCCCACTCTCTCTTAAAAAAAAAATATACACAAACATAATTTTTTTTACTTTATATTTTGTTGTTTAATGTAATACGGAGTATTTTTTTTGTTTAAATTTTTTTTAGTAATGTAATTTTTTTTGTTTTTTATTAAATTTAACATACTTCTTTTATTGACTGTATTTTTTATTTGATGAATTATTTCAGTTTGCAATATGTTACTACAACTCGAATTTGAATGAAGATATTTTTAGTTGCTCGAATAATTAGTAATTTCTTTGTAGTGTTATTTTTTTATTGATGTGATATTTTTTTAATGAATGAAACTTTTTAATGCATGTATTCTTCTATGAATGTAATATTTTTTTAATGAATGTAATTTTTTTAATGTACTAATCTCCTTTTGATTAATTTAAATAATAAATTAATTAAAATTTAATAATTTAAATTTAGAAGATGTATATTTAAAAATGTAAAAAATGAAGGTTTGAAGCCCCTGTTTGAAGCCCCGGGGCTTCAAACCCATTTCCAGTGAATTTTTGGTGTAAGTTAAAGCTGACGTGGCAGAGAGAGATAGTTTGAAGCCCCGGTTTGAAGCCTCCAGGCTTCACGAGTATTTCCAATGCTCTTAAACTCCTTCCCCTTTCTTTTTTTTTCTTGTCTTACTAATTCTTTCCCTTATCTATTTAAAACCGCTTTTATCCCTTATTTTTTCATACCATTCCTATCACAACATATTTTTTTACTAATAATCTATCCATCTTACTCTTACAAGGGTATTTTTGGAAAGTCAATACTAAAATATTACTCTATACTATCTTATTTTCCAAAATGTCAATAAGAGAAATCTATTTGGGAACGGAGGGAGTATAAGATATGGAGTAATTTGTACTCTCTCCGTTCCTCATAGATCTTCCCAGTAGCCTTTTTTAATTGTCTACCATAGATCTTCTCATTACCTTTTTTATCAATTAAAATACCACAACTACCCTCATTTACTTTATTTATTACACCTCACCTACCTCATTTAATACATTTCATCCATTTTCATTAAGGGTATTATAGTGAACTTTCGCCTTTTTCAACTCCCCTTACAAAACGTAAAAAGTCAAAACGAGAAGATCTTAAGGGGACGGAGGGAATATATTTTAAATTATTTTAATTTCTTACATTTAATTAATCGAATTACGATTTGGAAAGCCAAAAAGAGCAATTCTCGACACAATCATTGACCACGCACATATATAGTGGGGAGAGTAGCAAACAATCCACACAGAACAAAAATCCCGAGACCCTTTCACAACCCAAATTAGCCTTTTTTCGAGTTTCCACTTTAATGTTCAAATAATGAATGGCTGAGATGACGAGCTATTGGGTATCTACTGCTCCATAGAAGAACCTCTGGCTATGGCTGAAAATCAATAAAGAAAGAACGAAACAAAGAAAGAAAAGAAAAAGAGGAAAGCTAGCAGCTTTGAGGAAGAACTGCATTTCTTGATTTCTGAGGTATCTTTGGTTCTCATATTCAAGCTTCTTTTGTTCCCTTTCTTTTTTTCTGCTATAAAGCTTTCAATGGATCCCAAGCCCTTTTTCCCCCCTGCTTTTTCACTCTATTAATAATGGGGAGTAATAATTGTGGGCATTATTGATCTTTAACTGATGTAGCAATCAAATTATTGCTGACGAACAATAAAGTTAAGACCTTTCCTTTTCTTGTTTTGCTGTGCTCCTCTCTTTTTTCCCCCTTTTATTGTAATAATAATAATATGAGTACATGCTTTCCCAGTACTTAAGAATCAATTAAAGAATGGTTAGGAAATTTCCCCTCTTCCAATTGAGTATAGAAAAACACAACAGATTTGATTCCATAGGTTGAAGATATCCCCTCACATTTTTGGAAAGAGATATATGAATTTATAGAAATTTGAGTTAAATTGGTTAATGTATGGAATTTAATAGTTGGTTTTCTCCATGGGTATTATGAGCAGATCCAGTCATGAATCTTATGACCATAAATACAACTCCATTAAATTCTCATGAAGTAGATTATCCAGTTTTTGTTGTTGTTGTTGAATAGTAATGAATCATTACATTGAAGAATATTAAACACATATTAGCATTTGTGTAATTAGGGAACTTCAAACCGAAGTTGTCTTTTGCAAAAGTGAAAGACGGGGAGAGAATGAAGAGGTGGGTTGCACCTTTGTATTGTTTTTTTAATGTTTCTTTGTTGATGATAATCCGTGTTCCTTAAGAATTTTTCTTGATTGGATCCAGATTTCTGTGCATAATAAATAATCTGTAAGGCGGAGATTTGTTGGTTTGGGACAAGAAATTCAAGAACACAATTCTTGTTTTCTTTTCCCCTTTCTTTCTTGGGGGTGATGGAATCTTCATCTTCTTCGGGCGGAGCATTGAAGAAGGTGAAGGCAAGTGGTAACAGTTCTCATCAGGTTGCTAATTGCTTGGTGGATGGGTGTGATGAAGACCTTAGCAAGTGTCGAGACTATCATCGCAGACACAAGGTTTGTGAGCTCCATTCTAAGACCGCTAAGGTCACTGTTGCTGGTCGGGAGCTTCGGTTCTGCCAACAATGCAGCAGGTAATCACAGTTACCCTTTGTCTTTCTTGTCTCCTTCATGTGCTCCACGAGTCGTCTGGTTTCTTGAAAACTAATGTAGTTTTGAGCTAATGTTGGTCGCATTCTCCCTGACTCAAACTGTGTTTGTTTTGAACTTATGATGGAAAATAAAGTCAATTGAAAGTTGTTTACTTGCCCATTCAATATTACAGTTCTTGTGCATAAACTCAATTAAACTGTGGGTTCTTTGTTAGTACTTCATTGATGTAATCGTTTGTAACAAAGATAGCTACTTGTGAGGGAATTCATTGTTTGTAGCCCTAAGATAGAAACTTTTGTGTTTCAAGATTGACTCCCGAGTGTTAGTATGATTTCAAGTATATGGTTCTACATGTGTACTAGGTTTCACCCGCTGTCTGAATTTGACGAGGGAAAAAGAAGCTGTAGAAAGCGCCTCGATGGCCATAACAAGCGCCGAAGGAAACCTCAACCAGACTCTCTCAACAACAACAACAATAACAACAACAACAACAGAAGCGCGACAATGCCTTATTCCTCTAGTCCACAAGGTTAGCCCAATTTGATTAAGATAAACATTTTTGTATTAATATCCCAAGATTACAGGAAACAAGAATAATAGAACACACACACACACACACACATATATATAGAGTGATTCAAGGACCAAAGACTTTTGGGGTTCCCAATGGCTCAGTCTACATATTTGTCCCTTTGCAGGTTCAAAGCAGATTCTCCATTTCGGCGGTTCCGGCGCGCAAATGTACGCAAATGCTGATGTCAGCAACACCGTGCTGTACAACACCCCGTCACACTTCACTTGCATGGACGCTCAAAAAACTCTGCCGATGACATCATCACCGCACGACTACAGCGAACCGAACCGGTTCCAGCTCGTGCAAGGCGCTGGGGACGGGAACCTTCCGGAAGCTTCGGTCGCCCGCGGGGTGTTTCCGGGAGGAGGATTCGACCAATCCGGTGGCGACTCTGGTCGTGCTCTCTCTCTTCTGTCATCAGCGCCAGCTGTCGCGAGAGAGCTCGGTTTTACCCAGCCGCTAGTCCACGGCCTGGACTACGATGCTTATAGTCATCAATACACATTCTCTCAAGAAACCGGAGAGGCCAAACACGGCCTCCACTTCCCCGAAATGTTTCAGAACGCGACGTCGGATGGGTCCTCCACGAGTGGTGGGTCCCATCAAACGGCGACATTCAGGTGGGAGTAATTAATTAATTAATTAACACCATGACTTACACCTATATATATGTGTGTTCTAGGAAAATGCTACTTTGACCTCTGGGATGACACTGAAGTTGACACCATCAGAGACAGTCATTGTTTGTGAGACAATAACGGTGTCACCTTTGGTGTTATCCGTGACGTGATCGTAGCATGATCCGTATGTTTAAGGGCAGGCCTTGTAGAATCTGAACCTGTAATAAGGAAATACTCCGTCGGACCTATGAATGGTAAGACTTGGTTCTTTTGACTATTCCATTTTTCTTATTATATTATTTTAACCTTTTCATATGGGCTACTCACAGGCATGTGTGCATGATTTGTCTATTTATTTTTTTACTGGAGGCTGAAGACTGAAATCTGTCTTTTTACCGTTGTTTTTTTTGAAGAACAGTCTTTTAAAGTAAATATTGTCAAAAATGCACATGGCAAGTTTTGTGGATGACATTTTGGAAACAAGTACACTGTGTACTAGAGTGGGAATCATCTTTGAACAAGTAGATTGATCTCAAAATGCACCCTCAAAAGTTTAAAATATTTTTTATTGCACCTTCCATCAAATTTTTTAATATAGAAATACATTTAAATTACGATGTTTGACCAAAATTATTCTGTATTCATAAATTCAATTGATTTAAAAACTAATGTAAAAATAAAGATAAAATTTATATAAGGTAATCTTACACCAAACAAATGGTGCAAGATTGTGATACCAATTCAATTGAAGCACTTAGAGTACTTCGATCATAAAATTATACTCCTAGGTTTCTTTCCCCCCAATCCTGTCATCTCGTCCCCCGCCCCTTGGTGACGAGGGAAAACATGAGAGGGGATTTAGGTGTGTCAGAAGAATGAAAACTATCAATTTTACGATCAGAACACCATAAATGTCCCAATTGAATTGATGTTGTGATCTTACATTAAATAGTTTGGGTAAGAGTATTTGCACTATGAGGGGAAGATCGAAAATTGCGGTACGGCGAGCAGCGGGCAAAGGATGCTGATGTCTAGACGGCCAGATACTGCGTCGCACGTCGGGCGCACCGCTTGTCCTGCGGCGCAGCTGCACCAGAGATGATGACGAGTGGCCATCCATTGCAGCGGGGCACCGTGCTAGATTCCAAAAACTTTATTATTATTATTATTATTGTTGTTGTTGTTGTTGTTGTTGTTGTTGTTGTTGTTGTTGTTGCTGCTGCTGCTGCTGCTGCTGCTGTTGTTGTTGTTGTTCTTATTATTATTATTATTATTATTTCAACTCTATAACTTCATCATTTCTCTATATATATATTTTAACTTTATTTTATTTTGGTGTCTTTCTTTTTTTATTTTGGTTTTTTAAATAAAGAGTGTTCTTGTTAGATTTTTATTTTAATTATATGTATTTTGTTTTTATTAATATAAATTTTAAATTAAAATAAAATGTATTAGAGATTAGTGTTAGCGTTTTGAAAAGGATATATACGTGCCGTGTACATGCAGTGTTTGGCTTTAGCATGTTCAAAGTGAATGTACTGTTAAATTTTATCCAAAATGCTAACGCTAATCGAAAACGTTATTCCCAAACAAGCCCATACAACGTAATTATTTTATCATACCATAATCGATAATTAAATTTGGCGCTTTTTATTAATATGTTTATTAAATACTTGGGTTAATAATCAGCATAGGTAATTGCTAAAAAATATCGATGTCTATATAAATAATAATATTGATATTATAAGTAAAATTTCCTTAGAAGTTTCTGTGGAAAAAATTATAATTTCCTATAACCTATAAGGCATGTTTTTTATAGTTTTATACGGATCAATATTATCAACATCTATACTATAAAGAGGGGAATTCCCCTTTGCATTTTCCTGCTAAATGTTTTCAATCACAAAAGTTAAGTGTTCAACATGAATAGGTAAGTGTTAAATGTAATAGTGGCGTGTAGAAGGTAATGGATATTTATGAATTATAATGTACAGTGTGTAATAAATTAAAGTGTCGAGTAAAATATAATTGTGGTAATTAAGTTGCCGTGTAATATTATCATTTATTAATAAGGTAATTTCATATTTTAAAATTTTACTATCGTGTTATAAAAAGTATATCAATTATGGTACAGTGTTATAAAAAATATAATTAACACGGAAGATAAAAGGTATAATTTTTAATACCTTTTTATAAAAAGTGTAAATATTACGGAGTACTTTTATGGTCCCGAGTGAATAAAGGTATTCTCATACCAAACATTTTTTGGTCCAATATTACGTGCTATAAATGAAATTTAAAAGTTTGGAAATTGAAATGACAGTGTGAAAAAAATCATTAAAAAAATAATTGTGTTTTTGTTTTTACTTTATACATATTTTAAATAAGGTAATTTCATTATAAGCAACATAATAATAATAATAATAATAATATAATATTAAAAATGTATGTTTCTTTTATGTGATTACTGTGTATAAAAAAATTAATGTCTTTTAAAACAAATATGAAAGTGTTGCCTTGAACAAAAAAAAAATTCTCATACCTTAAAGTATCAAAATTAAAATCAAAGTTGTGTTTCCATTTATACTTTTTAGTTATTTTAAATAAAGTGATTTCCTTATACACGGTTTTGGTAAGAAAGAATCATAAATACACGTTGATAATTAAGAATTTAAATTAAAATTGGAATGTTGAAATGATAAGAAACACAAGAAATCGATAAAAAAATATTTGTGTTTCCTTTTTTACTTTTTACGGAGTACATATTTTAAATCAGGTAACTTCATTATAAGTACTGCTAGATTCAATGACCACTCATTTTGAGTGGCCACGGAAGCCACTACCACTCTTTGATTCTCTATTCGTAAAATTGATTATTTCTACCCCCTAACCCCGGTAAACCCCCCCCCCCCCCCCCCNCACCCCCCACCATGTCAATTGCACCCCGCAAGTTTAGTTGACTTTAAAGCCAAATTTTTTTACTTTAAAGTCAACTAAATTTGCGAGGTGCAATTGACATTGGTGGGGGGATGAGTTGGGGTCGAGATTTGGCGAGGGGTTTGTCAGGGGATTAAGGGGGGTAGAAATCATCAATTTTACGAACGTGGCACCGTAAGTATCTGAATCAAAGTTGTGGCTTCCATGGCCACTGAAAAGCATTGGCCATACAACCGGCCCGTTATAAGTAATGTAATAATAATAATAATAATAATAATAATAATAATAATAATAATAATAATACTCCGTATTAAAAAAGGCATGTTTCTTTTTTGCAGTTACCGTGTATAAAAAATTACCGTCTTTAAAAAATATTGAAAATGTTGCCTTGAACAAACAAAGCATTCTCATATCTTAAAGTATCGAAATTAAAATTACAGTTGTGTTTCTATTTATACTTTAGAAGTATTTTAAATAAAGTGTTTTTCTTATACACGTACGACTTTGGTAAGAAAGAATCATAAATACACGTTGATAATTAAAAATTTAAGTAAAACAAATGGAATGTTGAAATGGTAAGTAACACCAACCGTGTAATGTGGCCGAAAATATTTCTCCCTCCGTTCTAATAAAAACTTCCTAGTTTGTCTTGGAGCCAAAATAAAGAAGTGTTAAATTATAGTTGACTTCCAATTTTATCCCTGATGTGATGTATAGATTATTAGAGAAAAAAGTTGATGTGATAGGTAGAGTATGAAAAAGTAAGGGTAAAAGTGATTTTTTAATAGAAAGTGGAAGTGTTTTATTGGAAGTAAAAAAAAGTGAAAGAGAAAGTGTTTTTGAGAACGGAGGGAGCACATTGTAATTTTAAAAATAAAAATTCTGAAAAAGGAAAAAAGAATAAGCAAAAAACTTTTCATAGTATAAATACGATTATTTGCAAAGATTTTCCGTTTTCGTAATTAGTTTCTTTTGAGTGCATTTTTGAATCCGTGCCTTTGAAAAATGATTTTAATTTAGTAAAATAAATATGACATGAGATTCAATATCTCTTATTTTCACTTATAGAATGTGAAATATGATAGAATGGTAGTGCAAAAAAGGTAACTTAATTACCATATATAATTCATTTTAATTTTTAACATAATTAATTTTAAAAATATTGCTTCTTAATGAGAATTTTTTTTATACATAAAATATATCCATTTAATTTTTTTCATTTGTCTGCACCCTTCCTAAATGTTAGTGTGAATTTTTCTATAACATTATTTAATCCATTATACATTAACATACAACTAAATTTAGTCAATTTCGTTCATTATTTAATTTCTTCCATATTTGTTTTGAAAGAACGTTGGATTTCATTAATTCATGAGGTCAAGATGTAAAACATTACAAATGAAAGCTGGAAGGACAAACATCGGCTTTAGATGATCAGAAGTAGATGCAGATATTCTAGTTAATAGTTGAACAATCTAATTCGTTGATCTTTTAACAAAAGGCCGTGAGAGAAAAGTATGGGTGCACCTTCAAATAAAAGTAGTAAAACTATGTTTAGAAGTTCTAATTGTAAAAATTAAAATTATACATAACAACTAATTCAATCATAACAATTTTAAAATTAATGAATTAGATATATACTTGTGATAATAATCATCATAAGTGAATCGTTAAATATTGGTTATCGTCTTTCAATTTTAGAGAGGGAGCATTTTGAATGGGAATGGTAAAAACATGTTCTCTTCAACTTATTCTTATTACTTATTTTTATTAAATTCAGATTAGGTCAAATTAAAAATAGTTTTAAATATAAATAAATTAACTTAAATAAGACTAAAACACAGGGAAAGTACCAAAATAAGAGTTCTATGTTTTTATTCTCTAAATAGGATTTCACACTGTAGTAATGTAACACTTTGCATGTACATTTTATGTAAGGTAAATAGGCATGATTGGTAATGTAAATGTGTTTTAACTTTTACTTCGAGAAAAAAATATAGAACTCTTATTTTTGATATATTTTTAATATTTTACTCTAATTTTAGTGTTTTTCTCTTAAATATAACTATAATTAGATCAAATTACATTTAAACTTATTTTAATTAAATTATAATCAGTCACATCAGGTGAAAATCATACTCTCTCCGTTCTTAAAGATCGCAAATTATGAATATGTATATTGAGTTATAATGTAAATTTAATAAAATTGAGTTTATTTTAAATATAGTTTTAAAAATTAAAATTTATAATATTTAATTATTTTAAATTATATTTAATTCGTGATTAGTAAATACTATAATTTGGCCAAAAATGTTGAATTGTAGGAATTGAAAAGGGAGGGAGTATACAACAAGTATTTGGTGAGTAGATGTTAATGTTGTGACACGTGCCCCTTTTACACCCATTTACCTCAATGGACTTTTAAGGTTTCCCTTGGGCCCACACTTCCATATTCCTGTCCGTCCACTATCCCATCCGCCATTGCCTTCTTTCTCCGCCTCGCATCTCCACCGTCCGATTCACCTTTTCCGCCAATATTTCCTCCCTGGGCCCCACAGACCTTCCCCCCTCATCATTTTACTTGCTTCTTGAAATAAGTACTCTCCATTTAATAAAACCCTTCTTATTTTAACTTTTAGTCTTATTTTAACTTTTAGAAAGAGGAAGAAGTATCCTTCCGTCTGGAAATATTCTTCTCATTTGACTTTTCTTGGTCAAAGTTTGTAAACTTTGACTATGATATGTGAAAAAAATACATTGTATTACGATATAACTTTAATATGAATATATTCATTTTGAAATATAGTTTTCAAATATCAAATTTTTATAAAATATATCCATGTATAAATAAAGATATTAGTAGTCAAAGTGCAATCTTGGAGACCGTAAAAAGTCAAATGGAAGAAAATTTTCGGACGGAGGGAGTATATATTTATAGTTCATTTCTTAATTTTGTCTTTGATGTAATGAGTTAAAATAAAATGTGATGGATAGATTATTAGTAGTAGATAGGATATGAAAAACTAAGAGTAATATTGATCTTTTAATAGAAAGTGAAAGTTTTTGGTGAAAACAAAAAAATGAAAGAGAACGTATTTTATGAAATGGAGGGAGTAAAAAAAATAAATAATACTCCTCCCTTCAGTAAAAATTTTACGGTTTTGATTTTTTAATGATTTTGGTGACTGACCTTTCACAAATGCCATAAGGTTTTTTTAAAGTGATGTTTCACATCAATGAATAATTAAAAATAATTGGAAGGAAAAATTGAAAAACAAAAAATAAGATGAGATGTGACGAATGTGATGTGAGAAACTATGTTTAAAAGGGGTATTTTAGCCTATTTTGGAGAATTTGAAATATTTTATGGGACGAATATGATGAGAAAGTTGAAATGTTTTATGGAACAGAGAAAATATAATTTACATAAATATATATTTTTCATCACCCATAAAAAATGCAACATATACATTGACGTTTTTATTTTTATTTTTTGGTTGTTCTGAAAAACTTCTCCGTACTTTCTTACGAAGAAGTAATTTTTACATGAAATGTCTAGTTTGGAGTAAATCCGAAGCTTTTTATTAGGAATAATAAGAATAATAAAAAATAAAATATTATTATTATCTATCTTTTCTATTTTTTTGTTACGGTAATTACTTATTGTAGTTTTCTATGATTATGATTCTCTCTTATACTCTGTATTACTTATATATAATAATATAAAGATGAAATTTTCATTATTTAATAAAATCAATTATTATTGTCAAGGAACCAACTCAACCATAAGCTCAAGCTTGAGCTTTTGGTTGAGTTGGTTCCTTGACATGGTATCGGAGCCTTATTGACTAAGAGGTCACGGGTTCGAAACTCAGCGCCACCAAGTTTAAAAAAATTAAGGTTTCACGTGCTAGGCTCGAAAAAAAGACTACGCCTGCACGTGAGGGGGCGTGTTAGAATATAAATATTTCTTCCTGCCACAACCACAAGCTTGAGCTTCTGGTTGAGTTGGTTCTTTGACAATTATCAAATTATATCATTCTTATTGATGTCAATTTTCCATGTGTCACTAAGAGTTTATAACAATATAATCCCATCAAATCAGAAAAGAAAAGAATTGAAGAAGAACACAGTACAGTACATATAGTGGAGAGACTCTTCTGCAATAGATTGCAGCTGAGGCTATAAATACATATTATTGCAACTTTATCTTTTCTTGCATTTCTGTGGCTATATATACACACATAAAAAAAGATTGGTAGAGATAAAAAAGAAATAAAAGATTGTATTTTTTTTGTTTGTTTTTCCTTTGTTTTTTTGGGGATCAAGAATGGTAAGGGGTAGGGTTGAGCTGAAGAGAATAGAGAACAAAATCAATAGGCAAGTGACCTTTGCTAAGAGAAGAAATGGGTTGCTGAAAAAAGCTTATGAACTCTCTGTTCTTTGTGAAGCTGAAGTTGCTCTCATCATCTTCTCCAATAGAGGAAAGCTCTATGAGTTCTGCAGTAGCTCTAGGTATACACACAAACAAGAAAATGCAAAAAAAATTTTTATATCTATTTTGTAAAATAAATAAATAAACTAATTTAGTAATAAAGATTTCATCTTTCAGGAAATAAAGGATACCCTTTTTCTTGGAATGTTTTTTATTTCTTCTTTTATTATATGTTTCATTAATTTGTTTGCTAATTACTACTTCTAAACAGTCTCTTTTTTTTGTTTAGGTAGAGATCCAAATGAGTAAGAATTGTAAAGGGAAAGTGTAATGTTTTTTTTTGGGGGTGAAGTAGATTTGCCTTTTTTGTGATTGTTTTTGTGTGTATAGTACTTTGTGCTTGAAGGGCTTGTTAGATCTGCAAGAGGAAACCATGAAAAGAAGATAATTTAAATTGAAAAAAAGGGATCTCTATTTATGCTGAGTTTTTCTTTTCTTGTGATGTGCTCTAGTCTTCTTCTTCTTTTTCTTCTTCTTCCCTTCTCAAGTCTTCATCTTTCTTGCTCTTTCTTCTTTAGTACTTCACATGAGTACTTTGATTTTATTTCTTTTATTTTTCCATTTCTCATTTCCAAATGAAGCATTTATCCAGTGATGAGCTAAAGATTGGATCTTGAAGATCATATTTGGTAAAAATCTTCAGAAATTTCTTTTTAAACATTGTCTTGTGGAGCTGTTTCTCTATATGGTTCAGAATTAGTGATTTTCTTTTGATTTTAGTACCTAGGGTTTCACTTTCAGCTCCTTTTTCGAAACCCTAATTTTTTAACCCCCCATCCATCTGATAACAACATTTCTTTAGCCTTTGATGAAGAAATTTTATCTTCAAGATCTAAAATTTGTTCCATTTTTAAGTTAATCTACCACTCTAAACATCATATATATGTTTCCCTATTCTTTTTTATTAAAAAAAAGTTCTTGGGATTATAAAATTTTTAAAAAAAATCTGAGGAGTTACTGTGCTGTAAAATTAAGGTGTTTGGGGGATGGATTAATTAAAAGTCTGAACTTTACAGTATTTAATTTAAAAATAGGGTTTTGTTTTTGGTGAAATAATAACTAGATCCATGATACTTTCAAGAAAAAAAATTGATTTTTTTTCTCTCTCTCTCATGTTCTTGATTGATTTGATGTAGTTTTGTTGTCTAATCAGATATTGTTGAACCACAGCCTCACAGGCAGTTTAATATCCAGTCATTGGATGAGTCTGCAGGTTCCTCCGAGGAATGTATAGTGTTGTCAAATTTATATTATTGATTTTTAATTTAAAATTTAATTTTTCTCCCTTATTTTTTCAATGAGAATCATAAATAAACTAAAAATATTTAATTATTTCTTTCTTTTGGGGGGTGGGTGGGTGGGTGGGAATTTTAAATAAAATAATAGCAGGAGTCACAACATGCATACAAAAAGTTTTTTTTTCAAATTTTAAGATTTGTGAAATGTGAAAAATAAATTAAAAGATTAAATCATTGTCAATAATTAATCAACTAACTGTATTTTGTTTAATTTCCAGTATGCTCAACACATTAGAGAAGTATCAGAAGTGCAACTATGGAGCACCAGACACAAATATATCCACAAGGGAGGCTTTGGTAATTAATTACTCTACTTTTTAACTCAATATTTCCTTTAATAATGTGTATTTATTTATATTGGGTGTATTTATTTATACATCACTACTATAAATTTCAAAAACAACACTTTGAAGGCTAATTACCTAGTTGGATTAGGAGTACCAACTCAAGATGTTCTAGTTCTAGTAGGAATAGAACTATGGGTTGTAGGTTTAATTAGCTCTCTATATATTTTAGCCAAGCTTGGGTTATGATATGAGAAAACATATGAGAGTATTGTAATTCATTTTGAGTAATTTTCCCGTTATAATAAAAGATTGTTTCCAACACACTTGGTTATATATCCATTGTATGTGTCTGAATTATATATACACTTACAAAATTAACACTTTGAAAAAATAGATTTTGCCAAATTTTGTTAGACTTGATCTTAAAATTCATACGGAAAAATACTTTTTTAAATCAAGGGTATATTATTATGAGGAATCTCATAAAATTAAATAAATTTTATCAAAGGTCTTATGTCCATTATAAGGAATCTCAATATATTTTTATTTATTTCAATTTTAAAAATAAAATAAAATAAATGTTTATCTCATTCTTAGGAATCTAAATAATAGACATTATCCCTCAGGTTTAAGATGGTTATTTTTTATTTTTAACAAAAAAAATAAAAATTAAAAATTTCTTCTTTATATATAAATGAAAGTCCCAAAAATATAAAGGGTAGCAGGGGCGGATCCTTATCATAATAGTTGGGGGCAATGGCCCCCTACTAGTTTTAAATTTTTGTTTATCATATGTATTGTGATACTTTAATTTTTTCTAAATTTTTTTTAGAGTTATGTAATTTATGACCCCAACTAAAAATATTAGAGACCCTAATTAAAAGTATTAGAGACCTCAATTAATAGTGTTAAGTAAGAAAAAAATGAGAGAAGTCAAATATTTAAATATTAAAAAAATAATTTTTAAGTGAAATATTTTAAAATGCAAAAATAAATTCTAAAGTGGTACACTAAAAATATACGGGGCAATAATTAAACTAATTTATAATATTGGCATTAAATAAAAAATTATTTTTTTTTACTATTTTGAATAACTGTTTGAGGATAAATTCGTTATTTTTTTAAAGTCTCGCATTGCATGTATAAAAAAAAGTTTTGGGAAGCTGTCCAAGAACACCCGGAAGGTGACCCCTACTATTTAATATCTTGGATCCGCCACTAGGGTAGCCCGCATGGCATAACCCACTTGCTTCCGGAAGGGGCAGATTTGCAATAAGACGCAAGGTTCGATTCCCCGCAGCATGTTGTATGGAAGTGATATTCTGTGTCTATTTTGGGTCATAAGAATATGCTCCCTGCATGACAGGGGTGCTGGCCTCTCCCTTTAAAAGTCTGTTGGGTTCTTAATTTACCTCCCTTCCACATATCCCTTCCACACAGATATTTTGTGTGTCTGTGTTGGCTTTGGTGTACACTTGGGGTGCCACATGTTGGTGTACCCCTAGCTTAATTCTTATATTTATTACTCCTCCGTCCCCGAAAGAGTTTCCCTTATTGACTTTTTAAAAAATTAAGGGAGAGATATTTTGGTGTTGACTTTCCAAAATTATACTTGATGTGATGGGTAAAAATAAAATGTGATGGATATATTATTAGTAAAAAGGTATGATCTGATAGGGTATGAAAAAGTAAGGGGTAAAAGTGATTTTTTTATAGAGAAGGAAAAAAGTTAGAGGGACAAGAAAAAAAGAAAGAAGAAGGAGTTTAAGGGACGGAGGAAGCATAAGATACGTAGTATTGTATTCGACATTATTACATAAAGCTCATCGTACACATTCTTTAAATGAAAGTTTACTCTATTTATTTCTAAAGTGGAAAAAAATTTATAGGGCAAGAGAGATCGAGTAAATAATAAGCATGAAATTCTTTTTGAGTTTAAGGGACAAGAGGAAGTACTCCCTATTTAAATAGTTAATGATTTGACAATTTGCAGAAGGGTTCTTCTCTAAACCAAAAGTTACTAGAGCTTCTCTCCAATTAAAAAATAGAATGTAAATAAATGCTTCCAAGTTACTAGTAGTCTCTTTGGGTTTATTAGTACTGCAGAGTATAGAAAAGATTATGAAAAGGTGTTCTCTATATCCAACCGTCATTTTAGCTAAATTCGTTCTTTTATGTTAAATGGATAACTTCTTCATTATAAATTGGCTTGCATTTAAAATCTCTTTTATACTCCCTCGGCTCTTGAAAATACTAGATATTTTGATTTTGAAGAAATTTTAAACGGGATACGTTTTGGTGTTAGGTTTCCTAAAATATCTTTAGATGTATAGTAAAAGTAGGACTTTTACTTTTCACCCACCTATTTAATACTCTTCTGTTTTAAAAACAGTTCAACTTTTTCTTTCCACACACCTATTTTATACTCCCCTATTTTATAAACAGTTCGACTTTTACTTTTCAAACACCTCTTTTATACTTCCCTGTTTTATAAACAGCTCAACTTTTACAAAATTGAAAAATTAAATACGGAGTGCAAAAGACTTATATTTGCGAAGAGTTAAAAAATATACTCACTAAAGAGTTACGTTTTGGAGAATTTTTCTAAATAGTAATAAAACATAGTAACTTTACCAATGTGATACTATATGTTTTTATTTTTAATGTAGTATCATTATTCAATGTCCACTGGTCATTGTCAAGTAAATGTCCATCGCTATTGGACATTGTTCAAACTAAATGTCCATCATCACTGGACATTGTTACTGCCATTAGACATTATTCAAGTACTATTTAGCGAATTAAAAAGTTTAAGTGCTATATTGGGTAAGGACATGCATACTCCATCCGTTCTCAAAAACTCTTTCTCTTTCATTTTTTTTACTTCTAACAAAACACTTTCACTTTCTATTAAAAAATCACTTTTACACTTACTTTTTCATACCCTACCTATCACATCATACTTTTTCTCTAATACTCAATCCATCACATCTTACTTTTACCCATCACATCAAGGGCAAAATTGGAAGTCAACTACAATTTAACACTTCCTTATTTTTACACAAAGTCAAAATAGGAACACTTTTACAGAACGAAGGAAGTACAAATTTCACTTACGTTTTTTTACTTTTCACAAATTTAAAGAGTGTTAGTAGTTAACTTTTCGAATTTACCTTTTGGTGTGATTGATAAAAATAAAATGTGATTAATAGATTAGTAGTGAACAAATATGATGTGATAGGTTGGATAAGGATTGGTAGAATTAAAATAGACATTTTATAGAAAGTAAAAGTATTTTATGAGAAAAGTGAAAGTGAAATTATTTTTTGAAACAAAAGAAACAATATATATATTTTGGTCATATATTATATGGTTGCAGGAGATTAGTAGCCAGCAAGAGTATCTCAAACTCAAAGCAAGATATGAAGCATTGCAGAGATCACAAAGGTATATTCAGCTACTCTTGCTATGTAGACCGTCAATTTGACGGTCCAAATTCTAAGTGTTTTCAATTTATTTTATTTAGAGATTGATGCATAAAAAAATAAAACTTATATATTTAAAAAATACAACAAAAGTTCTACAAAATATTTTATTTTATTAAATAATTCATGAAAACAGACAAAAATATACAAAAATTTATGTAAATGAGAGGGAGGAAGTATTACAATAAGAAACCTAATATCTATATGAACCTACAGGCTACACCGGGATTCGTGGGGTTTTGGGACCCCATGGAACTCTTAGTACACAGATCCGCCTCTGCCACCGGGAGACTTCATGAGAGTATATATATACTCCCTCCGTCCAAAATTAAACTTTACATTACGCGTTATGATGTTTGACTGAAGTTATTTTCAAATCATTTTATATGAAAAATGGTGTAGAATTAAAAAATAAAAATTACATATTAAAAAATTATATCAAAAGATCTACAAAAATAGAGGTGACATGACTATATTATTTTATCAAATGGGTGACGAAAATAGGCCAACAAAGTGAATAAAGTTTGACCCTGTGAATAGTGAACGTAAAGTTTATTTGTGGACGGAGGGAGTATATGAATAACTACTAGCTAGTTCTACATTGACCCCATAAAAGACACTAATTATATTTTTGAGACAATTATAGGAATCTTCTAGGTGAGGATCTTGGGCCATTGAACAGCAAGGATCTTGAATCTCTTGAGAGGCAGCTTGACATTTCACTGAAGCATATCAGATCAACAAGGGTATATATATAAGTAGATTTCTTTTTGGAGTATATATCAATATATATTTGTTAATTAATATGTATGGTATTCTAACAGGATCATACATATATAATTAATCAAATTTAAGTTCATTCTATTTGAGAGTCATTATTATTATCATGATATGCATGGAGTCATCATATGTATACATATATATATATATATTATTATTATTGCAGACTCAAATGATGTTAGATCAACTCACAGAACTGCAGAGAAAGGTATGAATTGAACACCTAATAAGGTTTAATTATGATATACTCTCATTATGGTAATAAAGGGATTAAATTTTAATAATATATTTTGTGTATATATATATATATTCTTTTAGACTAATTGAGTAATTGTATGTTTAATTTGTTCATCAGGAGCATGCTCTAAATGATGCCAACAAGTGCTTGAAACAAAGGGTATGTAATGCATGCATGCATATGTGATGTGTATTCATTACCATACATTAAGTTGGGATTTATTATTGAAAAATTTGCACTAAATAGGACTAAAACATAAGTCATTTCCTAATGTAGGACTTAAATTTTTTCCAAAATAATACTTAATAATGTCTAGTGAGAAGAATAATATCCAGTGATCGTGGACATTTACTTGAATAATGACTAATAGATGATGACCAATAGTCCTACATTGAGAAATAAAAACATATAGTCTTATATTGGAAAAGTCATTATGTTTTAGTCCTATTTAGGTAAATTACCCTTTATTATTTACATGGTCAAATTTCATTTACTTTCTTTTCTTGTTTTCCCCAACTCATTTGATAAAATAATATGATCATATCATTTCTTGTTTTGTACAGCTTTTGATGTTGTTTTTAGTATATAAAATTTATTTTTTAATTCTGGTCCAATTATAATAAATTACATTGAAAATAACTTGAGTCAAACATTTAAACTAAAAAGACGATTTAAATTAGTACGGACTGAGTACATCTCAATTTATCAATGTACCAATCCAATCCTTAATTTCATCAATTATAGGTAGCTTTTCCGTAATATAAGACTCATTATTTAATGTGCAGTTGATGGAGGGAAACCAGCTAAATTTGCAATGGAACAATCCAAACACGGCACAAGAAATGGGAGGGTATGGACGTCAACCAACTCATGACCATCATCATCAGGCTGATCTCTTCTTTCATCCTCTCCACTGTGAGCCCACATTACACATTGGGTAAGTTTTTTCTTTTTTCCTTTTTTTAAGATTTTTTTTTAACATTATATTTTATCGAATTCTAATTATAAGTTTGAGTTTCTTGTTAAATTTTTTCTGTCAACAGAACTAATTTCAATGTTATTCAACTTATTCTTCAAGCTTTCCTCTACTGGACTAGCTAGAGAAATGTTTAATTTGTGTCACATATATATCTTGGAAAACCCGAGAGGGACGTGTTTGGAAAAAAAATTGTTTTTGGTTCTTCTGATATTTTAAATATTTCTAAAAATGAAGTTCTTCAGAATGGGCTGGACATGTAACCCATTTTTTGTCAATCAAATTATAGTGTGACACTCTGAAAATTTGTTCTAGTTTAAAAGTTAGCTTGAAAGTTGAGATCTTAATAATTGAAAGAATTTGTATTTTTCAGGTACCCAAATGACCCAATAACAGTAGGAGAAGCAGGGCCAAGTTTGAATAACTATATGCCTGCAGGATGGTTTGCCTAATTATTATTATTATTATTATTATTATTATTATTATTATTATTATTATTATTATTATTATTACATAAATATATTTGATGTTTGATGATTATATTTCAAGTTTCATAAGATTGTGAGAACTAATGTAATGTGACCCTTTTTGTAAGTTTGAAGATAAAAAGGGCATATCTGTCTTTCTGCATCTATTTATTGTAAAAGAGCAAATATATATACTCCGTATAAGACATCTCATAATGTTAATTTCAAGTTCAAATGTATTGAATGTGTTGTAAAGTTATTAGGGTGTTTTTATCATAGAATTTGTATTCATATAACAATTCATGAAGTTCATGTTTTAAATAACTAAATTAGTTAAACAAATATATGTTCAATTATCATTAGAGCTATGTTCAATCTATCAGTCTAATAACTACAAATTGATGTTTAATATGTTATCGAGATTGATAATAGAAACAAAAAATACTATATACTCCATATATAATTTAGAATAAAATATGTTTAATATATGAAAATAGTATATTTAATGTTTTTATATTAAAATACTCCCTCTGTTCTAAATCATTTTATTCTTTACGCGAAACGAAGTAAAATCTTAAATTTTTTCAATTTATTTTATTTAAAGACTGGTATATAAATAAAAAATGAAATGAAAGTTCCCTGATTTTGTAATAATAAATGTGTAAATCATTTATAGACAAAGGTAGTACGGAGTATGATTTATGACATTAAATTTAATTAAAATTAAGATAAGACTAAAGTGAAAACAAGCATATACTACCTCCGGTCCTAAAAGCTCTTCATGTTTTGATTTTTTTGTTCAAACAGTGGCACTCTTTGACCTCAAATTATGAGAAAAGTATATATAATTATAATATAAATTCAATATAATTGAATTCATCTGAGGATATATTTTTGATATATCAATTTTTTACAACATTTATTCTTTAAATTATGTTTAATGTATGGTCAACGAGTATCATTATTTTGCTAAAAAGAGTCAAAACATGAAGAGTTTTTGGACCGGAGAGACTATATGCTTATGTGTTATGTTGTGTACAAGAAATCCAACTAATATGTGGAGAAATAGAATACTCTTAAGCCTATATTTGGATACCTAGACTCCGGCCCAAACTCCAACCTACAAAGCCCAACTCTTAATTATTACGAGTTGTCCCTGTTTTGCTCACTCCACTTTTAAATGCTTGGCTAGGTACAATAATTAATTACAGGTAAGATGACGTTACTCAAAAATTAAAATAAATGTGAAATCAATTATAAACGTGCAAATCAGTATATGATGACAACTATTAGCACGTAAAACATGTACTCCCTCCGTCCCATAAAGTAATTCTCATTTCAAAAAAAATCGCATTTCTTAAAGTCATTCACTTTTATACTCCCTCCGTCCCCCTAAGATGTTCTCATTTTGACTTTTGGTGGTTTTTAAGGAGAGTTGAAAAAAGGTGAAATTTTACCATAATACCCTTAATGAAAAAAGGGTGGAGTGTATTAAATGAGGTGGGTGAAGTGTAATAAATAAAGTAAGTGGGGGTAGTTGTGGTATTTTAATTGTTAAAAAATGAAATGAGAAGATCTATTGTGGACAAAGAAAAAGGGCTATTGGGAAGATCTATGGGGGACGGAGAGAGTATTAAAAAACCACTTTTACCACTTATTTTTTCATAACCTACTTATCACATCATACCATTTTCCTAATAATCTACAATCACATCTTACTTTTACCCATCACATCAAGGGTATTTTTGGAAAGTCAACACAAAATTATATCTCCTTAATTTACCACTTTAATCAAATCGTTCCTATCTTTATGGGACGGATGGAGTACAAGTTATCTAAGACCATTGAGATCTTGAATCTTTGAGTTGAAATATAGAACGAATTTTTTGCATCATTTACCTCTAAACTTTTTCAAAAAATTGCATGGATTCATTTTGAATTTTTAAAATTCCACCAATGCCCCTAAACTTCTAATAATATTGCACCAATGGTCCCTTTATACCAGATTTGAGAGCGCGTTAGTCACAGGCTCATCAATATACATGCTAGAACCTAATGAAGATATCATTGATTAATAAATAGGTTGATCGATTGATGACGAGCTTTGTCGGTAGATGTTCGACTTCCAAATTTGAAACTGACAACTACATCTAGAATAATTATCTAAAATTTAAAGATATTAAAAATATAGATGATAATATTTAGGAAGGACATATTGCAGAACTCGTGTGTAGTATATGACTTTATATTAATCCAAACTTGCACTTGATGAACATATGATAAATGCACTCCTAAATATGATATAGAGAGATCATTGATGCAACATTTTTACAAATTCAGGAGGCATTGATGCAATTTTTAAAGTTCACGGAGAATACGTGCAATTTTTTAAAAGTTCAGAAATAATGATACAAAAAATTCAATACTCCGTATAAAACTGATCTGGTTTAATTCGGAAATCAAATATATCAAAAAAAATATGTTGTCACTCTCATTTGCATGAATTTATTTTAGACTATACTCAAAGATGCAAGCAAATGAGAGATCTATTAAAATTCATTTTAAAGAAAGACTAAATAGATGAGACTTAAGAGTGACAAAATGAGCTCCCTAAAAACACTTATTTGTGCCCTTTAGTGTTGACACAACCTTTTAAGGTAAACAACTCTCCATTTCTATCTCATTGAGTCTCTTCCCATATCTATCTCTCTCTCTAAACTCTTTCTTTCCTCTCCATTTCTTGGGAACTCTCCATTTACTCTCTCTTGGGGTAACCTTTTTCTTCCCTTCACATTCCTTCTTTCTTTTGTCCTCAACCAGTGAAAGTCTCGTTTGGCAATCATCACAAACCCCTGCGGCTGTACTGTGATAAGATATTACCAGAAGGGTAAGGGGAAAAAAAATGATTTCTTTATCTATAAACACTAAAGCTGTCATCTTTTTACAGTTTTGGGGGGAACTGCAGTGAAATTTCCAATTTTGTGTGAGCTTCTTTTTACCTAAATTTTGGGAATTATTGCTTCTTCCTCTTCTTTTTTTTCTTTTCTTTTTCCCTTTTTGTACTCTAGATTTTCTCCTCTATTTTTGCAAGAAAACATGGTCTCCACGTCAGGAACAGATCTTGCTGATATATTGTAGGGAGTGGAAACGACGTCGTTCATCTGGGGTGGGGGTGGGGTTGGGTGGGGGAGTGAGAATAGACCTAACATTGATGGTGGGGTGTTATGGAGATGGTTTCTTCACTTACTCAGTTTTGGAAGGGAAATATGAAATGAGTGGGTTTTTGTTTGTTTCTTCAATCTTTCTTTATGAATGATTTGGAACTTCTTTTATTTAATTATTTATTTTAACTTTAATTTATGATTTGATTTGGCAAGTTGAAAAGTTGAAAGAGACATTGGGTGTGAACAAGGGGAAGAGATGGAACAAAGTAGACTTTGAGCATTATTGTTGGGATTTAGGGGATAATATTGTGGGCTTCTTCTCTAATATAAACCCTTGTGTCCAAGTCAATCCTACTCATGCATTTGTGTCTGTCATTTTAATCCATTAGCTCAGTAAATTTCTTGAAATGTGATTTTTTTTTTTACTATGTGTGTCTACCTTTCTTGAAAATGATGGAGGTTGAATGATTGGAGGTACTTTGCAGGATAAAGACAGATATGAAGTGGTGAATATGAAGATGTTTTTGACTTATCCTTTATTTTTTTGACAACAGGCTTATCCTTTATTTTTTGGTAATTTTTGTTTCAGCTTGGTTTGGGTTGGGAGTGCTTTTTGAGGGTAAAAAGGGGATAAAGATTTGGAAAGTTTGCACCTTTGCCATATCATCAGCTGAAACCCATATGGTAAGTTAGCTTCTTCTCTTTTCTTTCCTTGAAGAGGTAATCTTGAATTCATCTTTTTTCTATGTGTCATATATCCTTCCAGATTTACATTTTTCTTCTCTAAAATGATTACTACAATAAAGGGCATTCATACCCAAAATTTGCATTTTTTTTGCATGAAATTTATGGTGTCTGCTACATTTAGGCTATTAATTGACACTATATGGCTCCATTCTCCACTTGTTTTATATCAAACCTTGCCTTTTCTTTTGCATCTAAACGGGGAGCATGTATCTTTAGAGCTCGTAAGGTAAGACTTAGTTTTTGCAATGAATTTTGTTAGAGCATTGGATTATTTACACAAGTCGATTATGACTACCAAACAGCCCCTAAAATGCTTGATTAATTGATGGTGTATGATGCAACTTTTTTTTTCTTTTTTTGCAGATTTAATTTCATCAATACAACTCATAATAATTGGAGATGGAGTGGAGTGCAAAGTGGGACTGGGAAAGCATAGCTAAGCTTAGCTCAAAAGCCTGTGAAAGTCCAAAGAAACTGCAACTAACAGACTGGGGAATAGTCGAAGAGGAGGGCGAAATTGTCAACGGATCCTTTAATTTGTCTGGTGGTTATGCCTCCGATGTGGGACAAGGCTCTACCCACTCTTCCCCGGGAGGCGCGACAGGGGCAAAAGAGGCCATCTTCCCTTTCGTGGATGTGAAGATGGAAAATTGCAGGGAAGCGTGCATTGGGTTGAAGCTCGGGAAGAGGACATATTTTGAAAACAACAACTGCAGTGGCGGCGGGGGAAGCGGTGGAAAGACGAAAAAGCCCTCGTCTTGTCAGGGTGGGACAGCCGTACCACGGTGTCAGGTAGAGGGATGCAACATTGATCTTTCTTCAGGGAAAGAGTATCACCGGAAGCACAGGGTTTGTGAGAGTCATTCCAAGTACCCGAAAGTCATTGTGGGAGGCTTAGAACGGCGGTTTTGCCAGCAATGTAGCAGGTATATGAGTGTTTCCCTAAGGGACATCGAGTTTGACACCATTGTGTCTCACAGACATGCACAGAGAGTCATTCATTTCATGAGACATATAGTGGTGTCATCAATGGGGTCAAACCCTGGTGTTACAATAGCATTTTTCTTTCCCGAAATTACCCCCCATTCCTAGTACACTACATACACACCACCACTGTTACATTGCCACGAAATTCTCACCCCCATGGCATTACTTTCTTAATCAAGTAAAAGGATATATGATCAAATTTTCAATCAAGAAAATTAATACTATTAATATCTGTTTATACAATCTTGACCCATTACTTTTATAATATCGAAGAATTCTGTTATATCATACCGGAGTAATTAATTTTTTTCCCCTCACAATATATATGTGTGTGTGTGGAATGAACCTCCATTGTTGAAGGTTCCATAGCTTGGGAGAGTTTGATGAAAAGAAGCGTAGCTGTAGACGCAGACTTTGTGATCACAATGCAAGACGGCGCAAGCCACAAAACGATGCGTTTCAGCTCAATACTTCTGCTAATCGCCTCTCTCCTTCCTTTTATGGTATGATTATGAATCCTACTTTGACACTGTTTATAAAACATTTGCATTTTTTTCTTGTAATTTGTTAGAGAAGAAAAAAAACAGTTACAAAGTTGAATGAACCAGAGTTTGCTTGGATTTGCAGATGGTAGGCAACAAATAAACTTCATGATGAACAATAATGTCCCACTTTTTGGCACCAGCAAAACTGCATCAAATTCAAGTTGCTGGGACAACAGCAACACATATGCCTCCAACAAGTTCATCGTCACAAGAGGGTTTTCCCCCGAGGCCGAAAAACCCAGCAGGACAAACAAGCAGCAACAGCCATACATCTCTTCGGGTATCCACCCGCCAAACGCAACAATCGGTTTTCATGATAGTTACGCGTCCAATGATACACTCTTGGATTCCAAGGGCCCCACATCGGATGGCTTCACACAAGGTATGTTGGTGCCCGAAATAAAGTCGAAATTGCCCTTGGTAATCTTTCAAATTACTCTCTACCGTCAAGTCGAATTTTATGGTGGGATTGGGGTCACTAGACTGGATCAAAAGACAGCAGGACTAAATTGCATTAAAAGATTGAATCCAGCTCAATTACCTAGTTCAACTCAAAAGCTTATAAATTACCTGTTTTTGTGTGCTTGTTGTTTAATAGGTGTGAAGGGATCCATGTTCTATATGGAAACAAGCATGACGACAGAGGAATTCCCAGCTCGTGCTCTCTCTCTTCTGTCAACTTCTTCATGGAGTTCTTCGTGCGAACAACAACAACAACAACAAGACAGTACTTCCATTTCGCAATCCGCCGCGAACCAAACAGCCTTACATGAACAACCGTCGATCCCTCTCGGACTTCCGCTCCCGTCGCCGGAGTACTGGTCGTGTGTTGAACCGGCCGGTGGCCACCTCCCAGTTGATGTTCATCTTGAATTCAAGGTGTCCCAAGAAGGGGACTTTTTTCTCAACTCATTCAGCTGAGTTCTAGTATCAAGAAGACATCAATAATATCATCATCATCAAGAAATTAAATGTAATAAAATCTTTTGATTCCCCTATCTCATCACTGTTTTATATGAGATTTGGTTTCTGGGTTTTTTTTAGATTCACATGTTCTTGTTTAAGAGGGCCTTTTGGTCATTGTTGTTTTCCAAAGGAATGTAATTGATGGAAACATTATGTTCTTTGGTTTCTGTTTTCACCACAGAAAGTAAATGGTCAAGTTCAATTCTCCATTCTTTCTCTTTTTGAGCTTTTGAGTCAAGTGGAATTCTAATTTGCAGTTTGTCCAAAGCTTTGCATCATTCTAAATTATTCTCTCTGTCCCATTATTATTTTTCTATTTAGATCATCTCAATTTTCCCCCCTATTTTTAGGAAAAATTGTACAGTCCATATTAATTTTTTTATACAAATTGCCTCATACAAGGAGCTAATTACGACAGAAAGAAATGTAATTAACCAATTTTTTTTTAATTTTGTCAAATCAAAGTGTAACTTTCATAATAAGAGGGAGAAAGTAGCAGGGATGTTTTTTTGTAATTCAATATCTTGTCCCAAGCTTGATAAGAAGACAAAAATTGTGAAGTCGTCATCAACATGGATTATGCCCACTTTTTTTTTTGGATTATACCCACATATATCATGAGGTCACGATGAGGATGAGAACATAAATTTGTTAACCACATTTTTTTTGGATAATACCCACATATATCATGTGCATCACATATTTACATGATTTGTAGTGCAAGAGTAACGCACAATTTCAAAAAAAACGGAAAATGAATAACTAAATGAAAATTAGTGTAAAATTAATAAATAAATTATGTAGTCCGTATTAAAAAATTGTATCAAAAAATTACATGAAATACTGATTAAGGAATAACTTGTTTATTTTATTTTATCAAACGGTCAACAAACATGTGCAAAGCTATGACATATAGTTCTGTAAAAAATAAACAAAAACTTTAATTTGAGACAAAAAAAAAAGAAATAATCTTAATCTTTGAGCATCATTTCTTTGGAAAAAAAAAAAGAATGAACATCATCCCCGAGGACACCTCAGAACGGGGTAGATGGTAACTAGACTGGCCTTTAATCACATATTTGTGGCAAATAGTTAAGTCTGCATCTAGTACTTGCAGACACCCTATACTTAGTATATTTACTTTCCAATGTAGTTACCACAAACCAAACTCGGATATTATCCCTTTGGCACTTCTTTCTTTGTCAATTGTGCAACACCCACCGACACATCTTTTCTTTCAAGTTATTTTTTTGAATGAACATTTTGTGAAATTCTAAAATGTATTCAGTCCACTCAATAATTTCAATCACATTTTAACCTCACCAAACTCCTATGATCATAGATACACTTTTGAATAAAAGGATGGACCACCCTCACCTTGAAAGCCAACTACCAAAGTACCAAACATGCCCACCACGTTAAATACTACCTCATCAAATGAAGCTCAATTCTAGTTCAAAATATTTGACTGATATCATTTTAGATTTAATTTAAAAGAAAATTGATAGTATAAAACTTAAACCTAAAATATATATATACTACAAAAAAAACTTCGTAGATGATATGGTCATATTAATTTATTTATCAGATGATTAACAAAAAATACACAAAAAATGGAAAAAATTGCAAAGTGAAACAAAACTTTATTTTGATACGAAGAAAATAAATCTGCAAATAAATACTGAGCAAATAAATAACCACATCCTCTAGCTACAACAATCATTGACAGATCATTTATCTAACCGGTAAAGCCACAAATAGAGGATCCACTAAGGGCTACGGCAGCGTTATATATGTGATTTTTTTTCAATGTGAATTTTTAATATCCTTATAACTTCTCTTTTAAACTTTTTATGAATTTAAAGAATATTTTTGTTTTAGTTTCCGAAATTATCATTAACGTAATAAGGTGATAAATAAATTATTAATGAATAGATATGATGTAATAGGTATGATAAGAGTTAATAAAAGAAAATATTCTTTTACTTAATAATCCCTCTGTCCCAAGTTATAGTTCCTATTTTGGTTTGCGATGTTTGACCGAAATTGTTTTCAAATCATTTTATATAACAAATAGTATAGAGTTAAAAAATAAAAATTACATATTTTTATACTATATCAAAAGATCTAAAAACTAGTATGAAAATAATACTTTATTTTATCAAATTGCTAACGAAAATAGAGAAAGAAAGTGAATAAACTACAACCATGTGTATAGTAAACAGGCACTATAAATTGGGACGGAGGAAGTAATAAAAAGTGTTCAAGCTTCTGAGATAGGTTAAAAGAAAAAGAAGAAAAATTTTAAGGAAAAAGAAGAGCCTCATCCTTGGGTCTCTCAAAGGCTGATCCAGAATGTTATCTATGGAGATAAATAAATCTAATATCAATGAAATCTATCCTTAGTTCAGAGTCAAATCCGACCACATCATTTTACACCAGGTATTGAACACTTGAACTACTCCCGGATCACATTTTTTTCGGAACATTTAAACATACAAAGTATATATGAAGTACTATATTATTTAAAATACTCCATCAGTTCCAAAATATTTGTATAATTTGACTTTTTAAATCAAACTAAAAAAAATTAATCATCGATTAAGTAAAAGTACATTGCATAGTAATACAATGTAATAATTCTTTGAGAATTTTCTATAAGAAAAATATAATAATGTTCAATGTTCATCAAAAATAAATCAAAAAAGTCAAACTCCACCAATAAAACACTTCCTAAAAGGATCCGCCTCATTCAGTTTTTGATGTTTGACTAAAGTTATTTTCTATTCAATTTATAAGACAATTGGTAAGGAATTAAAAATAAAATTTATATATTTAAAAATTACATCAAAAAATCTACAAAACAAGCAGTGACATGATTATATTATTTCACTAAATGACTAACGAAAATAAACAAAAAAAATAAATATAATTTGATCACATAAATAATAATAATATATAAACCATTTAAATTTGAGAGAGAGACAGAGAGAGTACTTACTACTTGAGAGAGGGCACATGATTGACTATAAGCACACACACAAGGTGAAAAATAAAAGGATGAACCCCATCCCAGAGATCCCTGTCGGAGGTCACGTGTGGAGGTGAATAGGGACATAGGGTGTTAATCACATATTGGTGGCAAAGAGTCTTAAGTTTAACATAGTTTCCAAAAATCAAACTCGAGTGAGTGACAATAAAGTATGCAGATGAAGTTGCCAACCAAACAGCCCATAAAACAGGAGGATGTGAATAGACTAGCGGTAAAGTAATAGACAACAACACATTGTCAAATTGTCGGTAGCTGCAAGTGAAATAATTGAGGCCCACACCCACACACCAAAAAGTCATATGAGAAGCCAGGCCACATGCTGGTACTCAACTGTGTCAGACATAGATTCAAGTGGGCATTTTCACATTTAACCATATACTAAGAGGACATAAACATTCATGCCAGAACAACACTACAACCACAATGACCTCAAGATATGGCAAATATTTTCCATGAGGATTTATAGCTCAAGTGGTCCTTGAGTACCACGGGATCAAGCCCGCAAATCGCATCGATTTTTCCACTACCAGAAATCTTTGTGATGTGAGACTTTGAAACCATTGCAGGCAAATAGTGCAGATGCAAAAAGAATATGAATGCTTACCCCCAATGAGTAGAACTTACCCCTTATTCCAAGTAGTCCGGAGAAGAAGGCTTGGCGTAGCACATTGATCTTCAACATGGGAACTCTCAAGTGTGGGGTGCTAGCCCTGTTTTTTGATTAAAAAACGGCAATTTTGCCCGTGAAGAGCACATGTGGAAGGGGTGATGGAATGCATAACCACACAATCACCTCTCCGGCTATTACACAACATCAGGTTTACTCACCGAAAGGGGAAAAATTATGGCACAATAATCAATCACTCACAAATATCATATTCCAACAACCTTTGACAAATCCACCAATATGACTACCCAAACAACAATACCTACACAAGAAAACTTGTGACAATCCCACCCTATAACTCAGTTTGATACTCTTCACGGTTAAATTTGCTTTTCCATTATTCATCTCGTATTGTAAACCACCTATCCATATTTCAGCTCATCTTAGTAGAGAACTAGTAAACTGACTAACCAAAGGGAGTTGGGAATGAATAACTGACAATAACTGGGTGGTTAGCTTACACGTCAACCAAATGAGTACCAAATCAAACTCTATTTGAGGATATAACCAAATCAACCTTTGACAAGGTTTAATAAAATATGAGCACACTTGTAGACAACACAAGATAAAAATTCAAAGACGACAAAGTATATGAATATAAGTTAATACAGATGGACAACATAATAAGGGCAGTTTAACTCAACACGAACTGCAGCAACGAGAAGACAAACGCAACTGAGAACGACCTGACTTTCAGACACCCACACTGCATGCTGGATGACAACTTTTGACCGTCGCGACCCTTAAGACAACGCCCTAGTACTCACTGGAAGAGTAGACAACTTTGAATTAATAAATGATAATGGACAGAGTACATGTTATTACAAACAATGAAAGCTAGGAACATATTTTCCGTAAATTGCTAAACCCAATAAAATACTTTCCTAGCCTTGATTGAAAAGATTTTCCTGTGTTTGGCATTTGAAAATATCTTTCTGACCATGAACCTTGGAGGGTTTGTTTGGAACCAAGAAGAATCCTAGGGAAAAAATGGAGAAAAAATGGAAGGAAAACAAAACTTAGGGTGGGGGGAGGGGCGGATTATACAATTGTTTCTAACTTAAAAAAGTCAATTTTCTTTGGGATTTTTCACCGTCCCTACTTTTATCCACGTTCCGAAATAGCCTGAACTTTCATGGAAGTCATTATATTATACACTAAACAACTTATTTAATTCCAAGGACAACATTCTTCACCAGAAACATTTACCAAGAAAACATGTTTCTCAGATAACGTTCCACCAAAAGTAGTTATCTTGCAATCAAACAGAACCTAAGAGATCTGCTCGGGGTGAGAACTACAATATCAGGGAGAAATAGTTGCGATGGAGATGTTGCCCCAAAGAGAGTGATCACATTTTTTAAGTTTTTCAACTGTATACTTCAATCTTACAGAAGGCACACAAATGGCATACATACTTAGTAAAAGATCAAAATGCCATACAGGTTTACAAAATGGACGCATATCACAACAGACCTGATTGTTTTCATCTGACAGTGGTGATGAAGAGTTCCTTGGCTCAGATGGCTTTTCAGCTCCACAGTTTTGTCTGTTACATTTGGTCCTAAATGGATAGTTTATGTTGTTGCATTTCTCACATTTCCAGCTCCCATCTGGCGTGCCTGATTAACAAAAAACATATATATAAAAGTGTGAGCCAGCGACATGAAATGACTAAGCACAATATAGAAACCTTAAGGGTAAGTTTGGGTCACAAAAAATGTTGAAAAAGTTATTTTTAGTCTATATACAATAGAAATAAATAAACAAAATGAGAAGAGATATCTAAAATATTTTTTTTGAATCCAAACATAGATTTCATTTTCTTCAAAATTACCCCTATATTTTCCTCATTTTATTTTATCTAGTAATTTCCAAGTTCCATAAGGAACCTTAAAAAACATACCAGAATTTCTTGCAGATTTTCCACCCTGAAAGATAGAGACATAACACAATATTAATAATATGGTACAAACTCATGGCATTCAAAAGGGTGAAATCAGAGAAATCTAGCAGATGGCAAAACGCCTAAGCTTGCCGAAAATGAGGCACATACCTGGGGCTGGGACCCAGGCTTCGGGGTATTGCATTTCCTCATATTACAAACTGTTCTGAATGAAAAATTGACATTTCCACAATTAGGACACTTCCAGTCATTATCACTTCTTCCTTCTGTAAATGGAAAAATAGACGTGAAAAAAAATATAATCAGCGTTATAAGTTTAAAATATTAAAGAGATGCCTCGCATAGCTATTTACCTCTCTTCTGAGGATTATCCTCTTCATAATATCCCGGCCTTGATCCCTATACAAAGGGCCAAAATCACTCACATAAGTATAAGACCATGCAGAGGTTATGACTATGAAAAAGGCCAACATAATAAGGTTCACTTGTTTGCATTGTGTAAATGAGTTCACGGAGGTCAGAAAGCAAAGAACGCTGCATGATTACTACTTAGAAAATCAACATTTTGAAGTAACCATGCAGACAAAAAGTTACCATATTAAGATTGATCAGTCAATTAGTCTTTTATGAAATAAAGAGAATAAAAACAGCTTAGATTGGCACATACAATGGTAGGGGAGCCCATTGGTAACGCAAGGCCATATCTGTCAACCAGAGGAGGTCGCACACCATACACCCCACCTGCAAAAGAAAGAGCAAATGTGTACATTTGTCATCAAAACAATTAAAGTAACCGTTGTGCATTTTCATATATTACTGAGAAGAAAAACATGCTATGGAGTCTGAAAAATCAGAGCCCATCTGTAAGGGTGAATTTGACTGAAATGACTTGATTGAAGTTGTAGAAACAGCTAAAATTGCATGAGAAATTGCTGAACAGTTATATAAATATATAAAATAAAATAAAAAAGCTAAGATAAAGAGAAAATAAGTATATAATAAAAAGGGTTTATTTGATCATATCTAGCAACATCAGCTAAATAAAAACTTTCAACCCTGCTTTTATTCTATTACGGAGTATTAAATAAATCAATGTTTCTTGAAAGAACCACTTAAAGTTGAAAGCTATTGCAGTTGGCCTTTAGAAAGATGTAACCGCAATCGAAATTTAAAAAAACTTTGAGAAAAAACAAAGATTATTTCAAACAAAAGTGAGTGCTTAAGACATCATAGCTGATCAGCCCACGAGCTAAACAAACATACCATTTCCCACTATAGCTCCACTGGAGTAAGGAGGAGGTGCAGATATATGCAGTGGTTGATAGGGACTGCCTCCAGATATACGGCTGCCATAGTTGTAGTGATAAGCTGAGCCCCCAGAGTATGGAATATCATAATGAGGAATAGACGCTGTGGTAAACACAGAGGAACCATGTGGTGGTACGCCCAAGTACAATGGAGATGGAGCACCAGAACCAGCATAAGGAGCAAGGGTTGTATAGCCTTGTGGTGCATGAAATGGCTTAGCTAAAGGTTTCTGGAAGCAGACAATAGTTATTTTACTGTTGAAAGTTGCAATGCAATGATTGAGTACTACCAATTTGCAATCACATTACAAATCAAAATTGCAATATGCATGCAGAATGAAGGGCCTTACGTGAGACACCCAGAGGTGCTCTTTGCATGCAGAAGATGGAATGTGTTGTACCTTATGCCATAGTTCTAAATTTATAGAAGAAGAGAGAGCAAAGAATATTTTTCTTTAGTGTCATCACTTGTTTATGATTCTTTGTTAATATCAAATACGGAGTTTAAAAAATACACACCTCCGAAAAAAGAATCATATTTCACCATCGTACAACTTTTTTGTTTCAGTAAGGTTAAATACCTGGAAATAATCAATTCTAGCTATACTGCTACGTGTAAAAGTTATTGGTTAATTTCAGCAAACTTGGCATATATAAATTTTAGGAATTTTTTTTTAGAAAACTCACATTTAATAATACTCCGTATAAATACTCTGTATTATGAATTTTTTTAAACTAAGAAACTGTTGATTGATCTTAATATATTACGGAGTAATAAACTAATGATAATAATAATAATAACAACCAAGTGAAGTCCCACAAATGGGGTATGCAGAGTGGATGTACGCAGACCTTACCCCTACCAAGAAAAGGTAGAGATGTTGTATTTAAAAGACATTCACATCAAGCATAATAATTACTCCGTAATAAGAATACGAATAACAATGCCAAGAAAATATATTACCCTCCACAGTAAACACGATAACCTCAAACCAAACAAGTTAACGTTACATCCCGGTGATTCTTTTTCCATACAATTTCAACCAAAAACATGTTAAACAAATTCTAGACTTTCAAGCAAGCAATCTAGTATTCCCAGCTTAGTCCCCAAGTAACCTAATGATTTGCAAACCAGACATCCCGTCAGCCCATGGAGAAGAATCATATTTCCATCAAGTTATAATCATAATCATTCACATCTTACAGTGTTGTGATCGGCAGGTCTGGGTTGTGTGCAATTCCGCATATTGCAAGTTGTTCTAAAGGAAAAGTTTACATTCCCACACCTAGGACATGTCCAATCATCTTCTCTTCTACCACCTTGAAACACAATAAAATGACAATTGAGAAAGAAGCAAAAACTACAAGTAGCAATACATACCAATATACAACGGCCATGTTTAATAAAAAAAACATTTTGCTTGACATTATGCCGCTCTTTTGATATTTTAACTCATAACAGCATTTTTGACTTGTCAGAATGCTATTTACACACTAACATTTTGAAGTAAACATGTTGATTTCACAAAGCTGATAGGATCGACATTTTGGCGTTGAGTTTTTTGCGTCATTTACCCTTGAACATTTCAAAAATTGAACAGATTCCTCCTTAACTTTAAAAATTGCACCAATACCCCCTGAACTTTTAAAAATGTTGCACCAATGGTCCCTCTACTCCGGATTTGAGAGTGCATTAATCACACACTCAACGAGTGCAAGTATGGATTTATCTAAAGTCATACTCCCTCTGTCCCGAAATAGATTACAATATTTTGTTCTCTCTCCTCTCGATAAATTTTGTTTATTTGTGTGTTTTCATTGAATATTTGATAAAATAAAATATTGTTGTCACCTCTCGTTTTATAGAACTTTTGACGTAGTTTTTTATTATGTAAATTTTATTTCTTATTGATATACCAATTTGTAAATAAAATGATTTCAAAAGTCAAGAAACTCTGCTTCGTAACTCCCAATTTGTAATCAAATTAGGGACGGAAGGAGTATATCACACGTTCGTTCTGCAATATGCCCTTCTCAAACATTAATTTCTATATTTTTAACCTCTTTAAACTCTAGATAATTATTCTCAATTTAGTCTTCGGTAACCGAATTCGAAGGCCAGACATCAATCGATAAAGCTCGTCATCAATCGATCAACTTCTTCATCAATCGATCAAGCTCTTCATCAATCCATGACATCTTCATCAAGCTCCAACACGTATATTTATGATCGTTTAATTAACGCACTTCGAATTCTAGCACAAACGGACTGATGGTGCAACATTTTTAAAAGTTAAGGAGGCATTGGTGCAATTTTTAGAGTTATAGGTAAATCCACACAAATGGGGCAAAAAACTCTTTTGGTATTAGCAATCTAGTTACCCGGAGTGCTAAGTTACAAAGCATCCCTTTACAAACTATTATGCATACTGCCAACTGCTATATATTACTCATATATGCTAACTGATACATGCATTTGTTGTTTGCCAAACGTAAAAGAGTGCATATAGCACTAATTATACTGTTTTTTCGCAGTTTTTTGTTTATGGAAGGGGTTAGAAGACGTACTGTCAGTTCGGGCACGTTTGGTGGCAGTGGAATTCCGATTATCAACCTGCAAACCATCGAATAGAAAAATTAGGAAGCATACTTAAGAATTAAGAATCCAGACAAACAACAACCCTAAATCGGAGCCCTATCCGGTAAGAACACATCAAGATGAACTCAATCAATTCAAAATGTGAGCTGAAATCGGTAGACGACCAATTACAATACACATTCCAGAATCAATGAACAAATCACAAGTCAAATAACGGAAATCATCGTTTAGAGAAATCTAAAAGCGGATATAGATTCAATACAAACGATGATTTCAACAATCATATCGCATAAATGATATAAAATTGAATGGCATGCCTGAGACATGGCGAACGGCAGCAAATTCAAGATCTCAGAGCTCCGTTTTCCAGTGCCGGCGCTGTAGGGGGGAACGCCGATCGGGGAGGGAAGAGATTTTCGTTGGTACTTCTGAATTTTAAGAATGCTAAACAAACAAAGTCGATAATAAGAAGTCAATCTTCTTTGAATGGGCCATGCCATATGCCCCAACAAGCGTATTTGATATATTGTTGGACTCACGGACATGTAATCCCTTTAGCCTAGCATTTGAGAAAAGCCCGTACCAAATGGCCCAATGCGACAGATAATACATGGTTTTGGTTTGATTATCGTGCTTCTACTCCCATCCCACTATGGTTGTGTTCCTTTCGCTGATCTGATCTAATTTATTGGAGATTTGATTTAATCTGATTTGATTCTGTCTGATATGTTTGTAGTTATAATTAAAGTTGTTTTTGATCTGGTCTGATCTGATTATAATAAAAATAATTAATAAGCAAGAAAAATAAGTCGAACAGAACGCTGCATATGTCTCTAGTTTGACTTTTTCGAGTTGAAATAGACGAATTTTAAACGTCAATAAAATAAAAGTTGTAATGTACATTAATATAAACATTAGTTTATAAGGTTTATCTTGTTAATGTACTTCATAAATTGAGAATAAATGATAAATTAAAATTTGTTAAATTTGACTCCAAAAAGTCAACTCGACAAATATAAAATGACATAGGAAGTACCATATTTCACTATTTAAAAATCACGAAATTTTTTTTTCATTTGTTTATTTTCATCATAAAATAAAATATTTTTGTCACCTCATGTTTTGAATAACTTTTGAACATAGTTTTTAAATATATAAATTTTATTTTCTTTTCCATACCAATTTTTAACTAAAATAAATTGGAAAAAAACTTAAAATAATTACTTTGTTTGGCGTAATGTGACAAATATTTTGAGACCAATTAAATTTTTTTAGTAAATTTCCTAAAATGTCCTTTATAACAAAATATTTGGGAACTTTTCCTCGAAAAGGCATACTATGAAGTTATTTCAAATATAGAAGACCATGAAGAGAATATTTTTTTGGTCATAACCAATTACCAAACTAATACAGAGGACGAACTTCTTCCCTGCCTTAAGTGGTAGGAAGTTCACTCTCCAAGATTATTGAGAAAGTTCAGTCAGATTCGAGCTTCAACGAGGCAAAGACATTAGCTATTTGAGCGTCATTAACTTGTGAATAATATAATTTGTACTACTTTCTAATATAGTTAATAATGCTAAAAAAACTAATATAGAGGACAACTATTAGACATAAACTATTTTTTTGTGAAATTTGCACTGAATAAGACTGAAACATAAGTCATTTCCCAATGCAGGACTTAAACTTTTTTATTCCATAAATAGGACTTAATAATGTTTAGTTAGAAGAATAATGTCCAAGTGATGCTGGATATTTAGTTGAATAATGACTCATAGATAATGACCAATGATCCTACATTGGAAAATAAAAACATATGATCCTATATTGGGAAAAATCATTATGTTTTAGTCGTATTTAGGTAAATTACCCTAAATTTTAATTGCAGATTGATAGCAGGAGTTGAACGTGCACCTGATAATTGCAGAGGCTCATGCTTAACATAATTGTCTTCTAAAGCAGTTGTTAGCAATCGAATTCAATTCAGGTCTATTCACTTGGCACACCCTGCATTTGCCAACTGCACAATGCCCACTAACACTCTTAGGCCTGTTCTTTTAGGTTGGAAAAATTGACTTCCAACTTTTTCCAACTTCTTCGAGTTATTTCCAATTCATTCCAGTTTCATATAATCTCTTTTAGTTTCTTTCAACAACGATTTAAAAAAGGTATTTGTATGTGATGAATACATAATAATATTATATACCTAAATTTATACGGAGTAACATATTACTACGAATACGAACAACGATGATTTTTTTAATACAAAATTAAAGTTTTTTTTACATATTTATTTCGGTGATCAGTTAATTGGGTAACTTTTTTACACTTTAATTTTTTAAATATTTTCCAACTATTTCCATTTTTTGCAACTCCCTTCAATTTCTGCCAACATCTAACTACAAAAAAACATAACCTTAATAATGATTCATGAATGGTTTAACGGGTACATCAAAATCCAATTGCAATGCTAATTAAAGATTTTGTATTTTTTTATTTTAGCAATAATGAATTTACTCAATTTAGTGATTAAGGAGAGTATGGACAAGAGTGGCAGGTTGCAACATTTAATCATTCGTAGTAGTAATGACAGCCCAACCACTCTAGCCTCGCTTGCTCCATAAATCTCCATTCCATGTTTGGTGTCATTAATTACTTTCTCCACTAGAAATTTCCTTTGACCATTTAAAGAGGATGAGTTTCATCTAGAGGATTCTCTCGGATTCGACGGAACGATCACTGAGAGAAGATAAATAAGACTTTAATCGCAGATTGACAGCATGAAGTTGAGTATGAAGTTGAGTCTACTCCTGGTAACAGAGGTCTTATGTTTAGTATAGTTGACCCCGATCGCAGTTGCTAGAAATCAGATTCGAATATACCTTTTTGGCATCTTTGTCAACTGTGCAACACACACCGACATCCTTGCACCATTTAAAATTTTGCCATAGTACGTTAGGACATACACTCTAACTTGGTGTGTAATTACACATAAAATATGCGTTACATATTAACCTTACTTGTACTTAGGTAATAAGTTACCAACAAATGAGATTCTCTTGATGCATAAGCACACATCGTATTTTGTAGACACTGAAATGATAAATATACAAATATCTGTAGATAAAGGCTTCCCAAATATGTAAAAGGGGGTTGCCACAATAAGTAAATCTGATTTTAAGACCACCAATTTTGTGTATAAAGAGATTTTTACAAAATTTGAAAATTGTTTATTGTGTACAAAATGATAAAACATTGTCATTGTAACAAAAATTCATTGCCATGGCTCATGGTTATTTCACGATTGAGTATTTTATTATTAAATCTAAAGAGTATTATATGATGTCATACTTCCTCCGTCCGGTCCATGGTTATTTCACGATTGAGTATTTTATTATTAAATCTAAAGAGTATTATATGTTGTCATACTTCCTCCGTCCCCAAAAGATCTTCCTCTTTTATTTTTTTCTTATTCCTAAAATATGTTCCTATAACTATTACTCCGTAAAAAACAAATTTTACCCTTTACTTTTTCATACTCTACCTATCACATATTCACATCATACTTTTTTACTAATAATCTATCTATCACATCTTATTCTTATCCATCACATCAAGGGTACTTTTGGAAAGTCAATACCAAAATATCCCTCTCTTAATTTTCCAAAAAGTCAATAATCGGGGACGGAGGGAGTATATGTTATCTATATTTAATGACATTAATATATTCCAGGAATGTATGCTATATTTCTTTACATTGTTTAATCTAAACTTTAAGAAGAAATAATTCAAAAAATTCATATGTTCCCGTGCAACGCATGGGTGAAATACTAGTTTTCCATAAAAGTTGATTGGCCAAAAATTGGCTGGTTGATGTTTTTTAAAATGTAAATACTATTAATTATTCTTATACTCCCTCCGTCCGGAAATTTTCTTCCCGTGTTGACTTGGCACGCTTATTAAGGAATAGTAAAACAAATGTAAAATTTTCAAAAATGCACTTACCATAAACTTTTAAATATCCTTTTATTATTAAAAAAGTATTAAAAAAGTAGATTTATGATAAAATAGAAGGGTATAATTGATATTTAGCCTTAAAAAGCATACTAAAAAAAGAAATGAGAAGAATATTTCCGGACGGACTAAAAAGGAAAATGGGAAGAATATTTCTGGACGGAGGGAGTATTAATTTTTAAACAAATCAAATTTAAAAAATGTGGGATTTTATCTCGTAAATGACAAATTGTAATCCGTTTTAGATTGGAAGGATTATATCATCAAGCACAAAAAAAATTAATGTAAAAAAACATCGACGTCCCAAGTCAAAAAAAGAAAATGGATCTTGGGAGTATTTATTTAGAAGTTGATCATACGCAAGAGGAGTAATTAAAAGATTAATAATAACGGAGTAATACATTAAAAAGATGAATTAAAATTAATCACATAATAAAGTTGATAATTCAAGTTGAAACTCGGAGGGGGAAGCATCAAATTAAAAGACAAACAGCTGATCAAATGTGCAAATTAAAACAAAACGAACTTAATTAATTAAAGGAAAAGCCAGCCCACAAGCCACCGAGGATGAGTACGGCGGAGGCCAACAGGGGGACTCCGGCGAGCTGCGGTGCGTGCTTGAACCCGTCAGATGCGCCACCGCCAACGGGTGTCGATGTTCCCACCCCGGGACCCATGGGGGTTTTTGCCGTCATGGTGGTGGGTGCGGCGGTGGAATTGGTGAAGATGGCGGCGTCCGGCGAGTTTGCAGGGAGGTTTAGTAGTTCTGCAATTTTCCCCATTGCACACATAGATATCAAAATTTGTCTAATTTAAATCAACCATGCTACGGTACACCAAAAGTGTACCTAAGTTATACCCAAAGAAATGCACCGACATTTAACAGTTCAGATGGACAGAAAATGTTAGTTCAATTAGAAAAATTTACACTCGCCATCGGTGCCACTGGCAGTGCCACCGTGTTTTTGGAGCACCGAATCACACCCCAGCCTTGAGCCTCCCTCATTATGCAATAAACATTTGGAAGGGCTTAGGACGGAGCTGGGGTGGTTTGGGGGTTTAGAGGTGGATTAGGGGTAGAAAACATTAATTTTTCAATTAAAGCATCGGATGTGTTCCAAAAACGCAGTGACAATGCTAGTGACATCGTTAGTCAGTGTCAATAGAATTCTACTCTTAACGATTAATATAATAATACCAGATATTTTAGGACTTCTGGAGTACCTTTGGTGAGTGAAAAGAATCAAATTCAAATTTCTCGGTAACAAAATGACTTTTGTTTGTATCAGAAAAAAATTTCAACTCATGGTCACTCATTTTTTAAAAATTAAGATTTTACGTGACAAGACTATAATGTATGAACGATTAATTTTGCAAATGAAACACCTGAAGTTCTCCAAAAACACAAGAACCAGTAGATGAACCATTCACCGGTGTCAATGGAACCGTGCCTTTTAAATATTTATGTTAACATTTTTAGATAAAGAAGGAACTTACTTGGGCAAAGGGTGATATCGGCGCCGGCGATGTTACAAACGGCGGGGAGCTGACGGATACGGTCTTCCTTGAC